GTCAATGGAATTTGACATTTTGGGATTGTTACTTAATTTTCAAAGTGCCTTTCTCCTGCCTTCTGTATCTTCATGGGTGCAGGAGAGGGAAGTCAACTCCTGGTGGTCTTGGCTGGGATTGGCCATCTCACTGAAGGCCCTCCAACCCTGCTTTTTCAGTCAGTTGCCGGCCTGGAGGGTCTAAGTCTGGGGCTGCTCCTGTTCACTGGCCAGTGGAGAAGATATGCCCCCATTGTCCCCAGAGCATCAGCAACAAAGCTTTGCCAAGGGTGGCCCTGCACCCGCCCACCACTCCCAGTGGCCACTCAGTCATGGAATGAGGAAAGGGGTTGGTGGGAAGGGAGTCCCAGGAGTGGCCTGGCTACTGCTCAGCTCCTGAGCAGTCCCACTGAAGCCCAAGCAATCTTGCTGCATGGGCAAAAGCAGGCCTTTACTAACAAGGTCCACCTCCTCTGAGGACAGCTGGGGCCACCTGCAGTCAGTAGAGCTAGCTCCTAGGGCTTGGCCTCACCTTGAGCCTCTCCTCCCAGGACAGGGTTAGGACCCAGAGCAGCCCAAAGCACACAGTCCCAAGTCAGGCCAGGTGCAGGGCCTGGAGTGCGGGCCACCAAATGCCACAGTCTGGCTGGGCACAAAATCACGAGCCACCACACAGCTTGTAGATTCAAACAGCAACTCTTTATTCCCGAACTCACACCAGCACTCTACAATCACGTTCTGGGGAAATCCACGTTCTCTGCCCAAATCCACCCCCACTGGCTGCCCAAATCCACCCCCACTGGCTTCTGTCTCCCAAAAAAAACTGTCTGAATCCCGTGAGAACTCAAGGGGAACTCAGGCAGCAGGATACGCCCTATTCCCAGCAGGAATAACCTTAAACCTGGAACCACCCTAAACCCGGATTGTCCTAAACCAGGAACGCCCTAAACCCGGATTGTCCTAAACCAGGAGCACCCTAAACCCGGATCCGCCCTGGTCCTTGAGCAAGGTCACCTTACATGCAATGTCACTGCAAAATGTCCTATTTCCACGAGTCCTTCCACTAAGCAACATGGGGTACGCTGGCAAGGAAATTGTCATACCTACTTGGCTAATGGCTCCCAGCATCTCCCCCCTTCTGATTAATTAAACAACAAGCAATGTGGCTTAAGGACCGTGCCTGGTAGGTTGTCCAATTCAACATATGGTTCTTACCCGTCATGGGAAAAACTGACCTCTAGGCGTCAGCCTCCTGTCTTAGGTTGATACCACTGCAATTGGATCATACCCGTCACTGACTACTGGTCCAGCATACAGCCATACTTTTGGATAGGTCTATGCACCAGTGGGGGGGTGAGGTTCTTTGCCTCACCTCTGTTGGCCCCCAAATTTGGCCTTGGTGCCAGTGGGGGAGTGAGGTTAATGTGGCTTAAGGACCGTGCCTGGTAGGTTGTCCAATTCAACATATGGTTCTTACCCGTCATCGGAAAACTGACCTTTAGGCGTCAGCCTCCTGTCTTAGGTTGATACCACTGCAATTGGATCATACCCGTCACTGACTACCGGTCCAGCATATAGCCATTGGCCCCCAAATTTTAGACCATCACTAGCAGAAGGGAGGAGGATACAGAAATGCCACGACACCAAGCCAACTGACGGCTCCTTGGGAAAAATTGCATCACTGGTGACACCATCAGCAAAGATATGCCAGCACTACCCCAATTAACATGGGGTGCGCTGGCAAGGAAATAAAAAATGCATCACTGGTGACACCATCAGCAAAGATATGCCAACATTACCACAATTCGCTGCACCAAACGATAGTTACATAGTCCAGGCGAGTTCTGCAAGCAGTTCAAAGCAGAGGAATCTATCAATATGTCCATTTCCTCCCAAAGTAAATCGAGTCCTTGATTGAGCATTACTTGTTGAGTTATATTCATTGATGCATCAGTTTATACAGTTTACTGTGATAGCTATCATAGAAGCTGTAGTCTGGTTTTATCTTTGTCTTCACCGGCACTGGGATGGAGATAGGAATTCTGGCAATGATGCTAAAGAGACATTATCCTGAACAGAATTATTAAATATGATGAAAAGAAAAGGTGAAAGTAAACAAACAGATCTGTTAACCTCCTTTAAAAACAATCCTTAACAGCTGTTTACCTAATTTAAATTAGTAAACAAACAGATCTGTTAACCACCTTTGAAAACAATCCTTAACAGCTGTTTACCTAATTTAAATTAAACCATTTAAATCACGTGAATAAAAAAAATAATAATAATAATTTGGATCCATTTTTTCATGAGCGCTCCTCATATAAGATCTATGGACATACGCACACACAGACATACAACACAAAACACAAATGTGCACACAAACGTACAACACATAAGACAATAGTAAAGGCCTTGTAGCTTTACCTAGGTGAAATCTCCATTGCAATTTTTAAAAACGCCAGTCAAAAAATAAAACTGATCAGAAAAACATTAACCTAGGTTTGTATGAGCTCAAAAAATAAAATAGAACTTTATGATGTGGGAAAAAGCAATAATAAAATAGATATTGAAAAAAAAAAGCACCCTGGTTAATCACTGTTGCAGATGTAAGAATAGCCAAGCTGGAGTTCTGGATATCAGCTGTTATGGATTTGAGTCAAATCATCTTCTTTTTGGACTGTAGAAATTGCTTTAGTTAATCTCTCTGGAATCCAAATCGGCTGCTGTTCTCCCTGAAGAAAAACACAAACAGAGCCCCGACTCCAGACAATCACTGGGTCAGGACCTTTCCATTGTCCTGTTAGAATATCCTTCCAAAGTACCTTGGGCTTATGTACATTTTTTGGATACATATGCCTTTCCGCAGCACTAAGTCCTGATGAATCCAAATTTAAAAAGTTTAGAGTAAAAAGCGTTATTTTAAGTTTATCTTTGGGGGATATATACCCCTTTCCAATTCCCTCTTTTTGCTTTAATAAGTACATTTTAATCTTCTATTTTATCCAATATTTGACTTTAAACTTCTCTCTTCTACCTTTTTCTATCTTGAATATCTGTATCTAATAGTTGTCTTAGCTTTTTGTATTTTTTATCTGAAATACCTTTATTTGACATTTTTAACCATTTTCTATCTTATTTCTATCTTCTAGTTTTCTTCTAAGGTTTTTATATTTACCCTTAGTTGCTTTTTTCTCTCCTAGTTTTCTTTTGTTTCCTATTTTGTGGGTTTAAAATTTTTGTCTTTCTACATCTTTTTTATCTTCCTGTATCTTTTTTATCTTTCTACATCTTCTCTCTTTTTTTTACCTTTCTGTACTTCTGTTTTTAAAGTTTTCCACTTCAAATTTTTAATCTTCTTTATCTAAATCTTTTATCCTATTATCTTCTCATTTTTTAAGCAATGCCTTTAAGATTAACTAAGCTTCTTTCCTCCGTCATGAAGGCATTTTAACCACCTTCAATTTAACCTTTTAAAGCCTTTTGCAACTTACTTAGACATTTTACAACTTTTTACTTTACCACACACAGATTATCTCATCTAGAAACATTTCTCTCTTTTTTTTAACCTTTATATTAAAATATATTTTCACATCTTGAATCTTTTTATATCTCTTTTGTAGCTGTTAACGCTTTTTATAAATTCATATTTTGAAACAACCCTTATAAAATTTCTGATTTAGACAAATTACTCCACTTTAATAAGATGAAATACTTTCATGTTTTTTTATGGTACTATAATACTATGATTGAAACCCAACTGAAACTTCTTATACTCTTTGTATATAAATTACACATGATAGAATCTTAACACTTAGTAACCTTGTTTTAGCAAAGACACAGACCAAAGCAATATTAAACTTTTTTTCCATTTACCAATTTATGAAAACACACATAATGTTTAAATACATTACCTTATGGAACTTAATAAGTAAAGAGTACTTGATTTCATATTTAGTGGTTGATATTTTAACACTTTAGCTTTGTAAATTAATCAGATGTCTGTAAAAACCAAGATCTTAGACAATTGTAGTAAACAGAACTAGCCATCTCTTTCTTGAAGAAAAATCCTTCTACAGGATACCATGATGGTCCCATTGATATACTTAATAACTCGTCTTTAAAAAGCCAAGGGCTACATTTTTGTATTGTATCAACATATGCCCTAATTGTTCTTGGTCTTACTGGGGTGCCTCCTTCCTCTAACAATTTCTCTTGCTCGGAGGCGAACAACTTCAAACCTTGAGTCAACCATTTTCCCCAGTTTGCCTGAGAAAGTTCTAGGAACAGGCAACTTGAAATAAAAACAAAATAAATCAAAACAATAACACATTGTTTTTTGAATTTGTCACCCATTCTTTCGCTCTTCCTCAGGGGCGAGCAATTTCACTTACCTCCAAGCTTTAGATGTTCCCCAAACGGACCACCCCAGGACACCCTGGGAGCAACCCCAGGCCAGCCTGTCTGCTCAGCACCCTCAAGACCTGGCCCCTTACCAGCTGTGCATCCTCTCTGAGTCTCGGGTGCCTCGTGTTTAGAATGGTGGTGTTGGAACTGGGAACCCCAGGCTGCTCCTTGCCATAGCCTTTTATGATTTGGTCACCTGCTCTGACCAGGGCCTGCCAAGTAAGCAGCCACCCTTCCAGGCTGGACTAAGGCCTGTTCTTGGCCTGAGTCATTCCCAGGGCTGGCCCCCATCTGCAGTTTGGCCTTGGGACAAGCCTGGGAGCCTCAGGGTACAAGGAGGAGTGGGCTTGGGCTCTAGTGAGTGGTGGTGACCTGGGAGCAACCACACCAACACCGGCCACTGGGGCAGCAGAGACCTGAAAAGGACTTTCCAGGAACTGGTCTCAGGTGACCTGAGCCAGGGTCCCCACTGGCATCAACAGGCCTCATTGCTCAAGGTCCCTAGCAGCCTGGTGGACTTCCATCAGTGCTGGTAAGGGTCCTGCAGCCACTTCTGCCCAGTCACACTGGCCACCTAGAAGTTGCAAAGAAGGTGACCCATGATGTTTTATTTTTAGGGTCCTTCTCAGGAAGATGGCCTACTATGGAAAATGCATTGATGTTGTGATAGAGCAACTGGACAGGTTTAAGCCTGAGAAGGACATTCCCGACCAGTTCCTGGAGGCTGCATCCTCCTCTCTGCAGGTAGGGTCAGGGCAGCACTGGACTTCTGGGAGGCTGGATCACTGGCATTTCCCTCTCAAGTCCATGCCTAACAAAGGCCTCCTTCCTACCAGGAGAGGCCCCAAAGCGAATCTCCCTCCCAGTGTGGCCAGCAGCGTTCTTGGGAGGCTCCCAGCACCCAGGTGTACATCACACTGGACTATGTGGGAGACGCCTAACTCTGGATCATGTCCCTACATAGTTCTGTCATCAACATAGATAAGAAGAGGGATCCCTGAGCCCCTGCACACCCACCCCTAGTTTGGAGGGTCTATAGCTGTGTTCACAGTGGCAGCAAGTGGCCAGGGACCTCCAGCAGAGTCAGGGGTAGGCCAAGGCACCGAGGCCCTGGGGAGCCACTGATATCCCCCCACCTCCTTCATCTTTCTGCTCACACCTTGAGGCTGGCCACCTATGCCTCAGCTCCTGCCCCCACCCCAGGGATCCCTTTCCATCTCTCCCCAGTTCCTGTCCAGAAACTGGTCCCCTGGGATGTAAAACCTGGGCTTGGGAGAGGAGAAGCCCATGGTCCTCAGTCTGCCTCGCTTCAGCATCACCTGCCACCCCAGCACCTTACCCCACAAGGACCCTCCCTGTCATCTGATCCCTATCCCCCATAGGCGGTCTCTGACCCCATGTCCACTGTCCATCAAGGACAGGTGCCAGGGGAAGAGCTGGGGGACTGTCACATGGGTGCTCCCCCATCCCACCCAGGAAGCACCCACCCTTGAAGGGGGTGTTGTCACAAGTGCATTAGTGGGAAGGGGGCAGGAAGAACTAGGCAATCTTGCTGCATGGGCAAAAGGGGGCCTTTACTAAGCAATCTTGCTGCATGCTGCTGGTTGCTGCTCTTGTTTGAAATGGCCTCAGTAGGCTGTTACTGCCATGGCCCAAGGAGGTGTCCCTGGCCACACCCCAACCCATTACCTGCACAGGTATCTCCTACTGAGAGACCTGCCCTTGGGAAGCAGCCAAAAAGCCCAGAGGCAGGAAGGTGTGGGCAAAGGCTGCAGGGGCTCGGGGGCCAAGGCCTGTCATGGGAGAGAAAGCTTAGAACCTCTGACTCCTAATCCCCAGCTTCTAGAAGAGTCCTTCCTCCAGCTGGGGCTGCAGTCAGCAAGGACGGAGGCCCTAGAGGGCACTGGGCCTCCTCCCCACCTCAGCACCTCCTTGCTTCCTGCTTTTTCTCTAACAACCTCATCATTGGGGGGACACAATGAAAACAGCAAGGGTCAGAACCGGGGAAGCCCTTGCACAGCTTGGCCCAACTTCTGCCCTACACAGAGCTGGATCCCCTTGCCCAGAATCCAGCCCTGGAAGCCAGCCCAGGGCCTGGCACTCACCTGTCACCTAGACCCGTGACCTGGACCCACCTGCTCCAGGGCCTGGCTTTAGCAGCTCCCTCTCTCCTTCTTTCAGCCACAAAGGCCTCTGGATCCCAAGTTCCTGAAGCTCCTGTTGGCACCTCCCTTTCCACCAAGAATACCTGCCCACTGTCTGGGGCTCATCCCATGTCCCTCAAGCTTCTGTCCCAGTCTGTGTGCTACTATAACAGAATGTCTGAGGCTCGGTAATTTATGAGTGACAGAATGTATTTCTCCCAGTTAGGGGAGCCTGGGAAGTCCAAGATTGATAAAGATGCTGGCATCTGGTGAGGGCCCTCATCCTGTGGCAGAAGCCAAGAAGGAGAAGAGGCAGAGCACATGCCCTCTCCAGGGTTCCACCTAAACACAACCACAAGGGCGAGTCCATGTCCATGCAGGTCTTGTAGGTCAAACAGCCAAACACAGCACCCTCCCGGCAGTCTCTCCCCACGCTCCGCTGGCAGCTCCAGGCCCTACCCCCAACCTCCTTGTCACGGAACCTGTAGGTCCAGCCTGGCACAGTTACCCCACTCTGCAACGTGCCACTGGAGCCCGGCACTACCTGTGTTGGTCTCCTTCACCGGCACTGCTCCTTCTGGGCTCTGGCCTCTGGTTGTCGGGGTCCTCAGGAGGCTCTGGTCATCTTGCCTGCTCCCAGCCCTTCCTCCAGCCCTGACCCTCTCTGAGCCCCATGCCCACTGCTCTGGCCACACTGGTTTCCAGCTGTTCCTAACACTGACTGTTCCCCCTCCTGGTCACCTGCCTCAGCCCACAGTGGGGAGAGCGGGCTGGTTCTTCAAGCGAGAAAGAGAGAGCTACTGTCTTCGCTTCTTGAGCGCCAGGCAGGAGCGTGAGTCACAGCAACAGTCTGGGGTTGGTCCTGGTCCTTGAGTCATGTGTGACCCATGTGTGTGCCTCTCCCTGGGGATGCTAGCACCCCGACACCATCCTGCAGACCGGCAGCAGTGAGTGGAACTGGCGCAGCCAGGGGCACTGGCCCTGCACCTCCGAGGCCGGCAGTGGCGTTCACATGGGTGGCGGAGCAGCACCTGCCTCACGGGCCCTGGCCCTTTTGCTCACTGCAAAATGTCCCTCTGAAGTCAAAGTGGAACGGGGCCTTGGAGACTGACCCAGTTTGGACAACTCGCTTTCATCTCAGCTGTAATACACCGACTTCCTCAGGCCAGGGCTGCAGATTGCCACCTGCCCGAAAGTCATACAACACAGAAACCAACAGGTGGAGTCTGATGAAGGGCACGTGGAAGGCTGGGCTGTGCCCCAGATGTGTCACAGGCCTGCAGTCTACATGAGTGTGAGTGAGCTGAAGCCTGTGGATGAGGGCTCCTTAATTTAGGATGGGCCCTAACCATGAGGATGGCCTTGGAGGAGGAGGGAGTGTGGACACAGGCACAGGGAAAAGAGCACATGGTAACCCAGAGGTGGGAAAGAAGGCCACACTGCAGCAGAGGCTGTGATCTGAGGGAGGCAGACATCAGTCACCAAGCATCGAGACCCGTGACCCTGCTAGGAGGGACGGTGGGTGGGTGTTCCTCTGGTGCACCTCCACTCCAGACTGGGCCTCCAGAGCCATGAGAGGCTGTTCTCTGTCTCCAACACCCTGTTTGTGGTCCATTTGCTGCAGTAGCCCCAGGAAATCCGCCTCCTACTGGAGGCCTGTGACAGAGGGGCAGGCTGGGAACAGACGGGGCCTCAGAACCACCCAGAGCTCCTGCGGGAGTGCTGGGCCCAGGACTGGGGGAGAAGTGGGCCTGTGGCCCACTAGACTGGGGAAGTCTGAGGACTGATGGTCTGCATGGCATCCAGCAGCCTGAGTTTCCTTGCCGTGGCTCCTGACCTGCCTCAGTCTGCATCTCTGACTGACAGGTCTTGGTAATAGGGCTTGCAAGTCTTGAGCTGTGGTTGATTAGCACCAGGCCCTGTCCTGCCTGGCCCTGGGCTAGCTCCACAGACCCAGAGTGACTCCTACAGGAGGCCTGGTGACTGTGAAACTGCAGGGATCTGGACCTCTGGTTCCCCTGCCCTTGGGACAGCTATCATTGCTGACTGATTTCCCTGGGTGGGGACTTACCAAAGCCCAAAATTTTGGTGGCCACAACCCATGTCTCATGGTCTCAGTGACAGCCTGGCTGGGAATCAAGACCTCTTTAGTGCAGTTGAGGCCTTGCCCTGACTCCTGGGAAAGGGAGCCTACCTGTCCAGACCCAGAACCCAGGCCAGGGCTGAGTGCTCAGCAACCTCTCACCCCATTCCCAGTTCCAGGATCAGTCTGTCTCTGTGAACCGCTGGACACCATTGTCCTGGGAGCTGCAAGCCCAGCATGGTTGTCCTTCCCCAGTTGCAAGGACCTGGCCTCTGGCCCAGCCTGGCCCATGGACCCAGGTGCCATTTACTGGCACTGCCTCGTCCCACTTAGCCCTGCATCTGCAAGGTCCTCTGCCCGATGCCTCTCTGCCAGGCCTGCCTTGCCCAGGGCTGATGGCGTCAGAGCCCACACCTGCTCTTATTAAAAAGACATTGTCACACATCCCGAACACACTCGTAACTAATGAGCGAAAGAATCCCTATTGTCTTAGCCCCAGAGACCAGAAGAAGTTGTCCAGAGTCCTGAGAGTCACCCAGCCCTCAGCACAGATGACTCATCACCCTCTGACTCCTAGGCCCAGGACCTGGGCTTCCTGAGACCCAGCAGGGGTGGTGCCCTCTGGTGTGGGTGCAGCCTGCAGTCAGGGAAGCCCGAGGGGAGGGGGACAGAGGCTGGTGGCTGAAATGAGAGCCAGCTCAGCAGCCCTGCCTGTACTCACAGGTGTGTCCAGTGACCTTGTAATTAGAGGGAACAATTGATAACCTCCCATGGCATCTGCTGCCTCTGTTGAATGAGGAAGAGGAGGGTCTTCATTCCTGTGTCTGGGACACCAGAGGCTCAGCCCGTCCTCAGGGAGACGGGCAGTGGGAACTGAAGCAAGCAGAGGTGACTTGTCCAGGCCCTGGGGGCCATCCCAGCACCACAAAAGAAAAAAAAGTAACAAAAGAAAGCTCATCTTGGGTAACAGCCGTGAGCCACAGTGTCGGGCTCTTGCTCTGCTGCGGCTCTGAGGCCTCCTTGGCTCAGCTCTTCCAGAGGGTTTTGAGGCTGCAGGGCCTGCTGAAAGAGGGTAACCGGCTGGAGCAAAGCCTGGCAGTGATTTTTGACGTTGTTACCGAAGTAGCGCATGCCAACTGCAGGGATGTGTCCCCTTGTCTCTCCACGCCTCACCCCCGGGGGTCACCACCCTACACTCATCTGACTCCAGGGCCTGGGGAGGCTGAAGTCTGGCTAGTCCCATTTCCACGTCTACAGTGCATGGCTCTGGACGCACGTGTGTGCCTGCGGATGGCCTCCTTAGATTCCTGGAAATGCCCTCATTGAGCTGAAAGTTCTGGAAAACAAGACTCTCTCAACCCATTTCTGAACTGTTTGGGGAAAGGCTAAGCATCTGTCCGCACCAGCCCTTCCCGTGCTGGCTGGAGACGTCAGACCCTTAATTTCCTGCCACCTTCAAAAACTGAAAAACTTCTCAGAACTTAATTTGAAAACCTTCTTTTCTTATTGAATAATTAACGCGTGTCCTGCACAGGCCACAACCCAGAATGTTCCAAGGGGCCAATGGGAGAGTGGCCCTGGGGCCACAGGGGCTGTGTGGGGACCCACTGGTCTTGCAGGCTTTCCTGCTGGCACTCCCCTCACCCCTGTGTCTGGGACCTTGCCTGAGCCCACTTGCTAAGTTACTGTGGTAAGATGCACAAGACACAAACGTCCCGTCCAGGGGCACTGGGCATGTGCAGGCGCCATGAAGCCACTCCATCCTGCCTGACTCTGGACCTCCCTGTCCTCAGTGAGGGAGGTCCCCTGGGCTTGTCCCCACCACGCAGGTCATTCCCCTCGTCTACCTCAGCCTTGCCCCGCCTCGCCCCCCCCCAGCTGCTGCCCGCCTGGCTGTTTGCCCTCCAGGGCCTGAGCCCCCTGAAGCAGGCGTTCGTGATGGAGGTCCTGTCCGGCTGCCTTGAATACTGGAAGTTGCTGACCATCGTGGTAGACGCCTTCTACGTACGGGATGGCCGACTCTGCCTCTGGGCTGACTACAGCCTCTTCCAGGGTGGGTGCCCATCCCACCTGTCCCTAAGCCCCAGGCTGCTGCCACTCCAGAACCAGGGGCTGAAGGGGTGGTCAGACCTCAGCAGAGCCACCAAGGGAGCCAGGGGCTGCTCTTCAGGCTGCAGAGGCTCCTGCTGCAGTTCCACCAAAACCTGTGTCCTCACTGAGACTCAGGGTGACCTATGAGAGGGTGGACCAGGGTGGAGTGACTCCTTACTTCACAGATGGGGACACTGAGATTCAGGCTCACGACAGGGTCAAAGGAGTCTGACCCCCGAGGGAAGGTGACTGGGCAAGCCTGGCGCCTTTCCTGGGCCACTCCTGACCCCTGACCCTGAGGCCTTGGAGCAGGCCCTAGGCCACAGTCTGGACCTCGCTGAGTCATTAAACACAAGACACCTCTGGCCTCTGCCTTTCCTGGTGCAGGCTGGCCCTTGTGCACACCCAGGGAGGGGTGGGGGCTGCCCAGTCCTGGTGGGAGGCAGTGGGAGAGGCTACAGGGTCGGGCGACACCATCTGTCCCCCAGAAGAACCTCTGAGAACTGATCAAATGGGACAACACAGTGGCGGCAAATCACGGCCGCTCTAAGACCTCGCTCCTTGTTGTCTGGGGATGTCCATCCTGGGACCTTCAGCAGGAGCTGGGTGTGTGTCCTGGGCCCCGCGCAAGGGGTGGGGGGTGCGCCTGGGAGGCCTCCCTCTGGCGATTCTGCAGCCGCACCCTCACGCTGCACCCCCTCTGCAGTGCTGTGCTACCTGGCCACGTTCCAGCTGGATGAGCTCGGCTTCCAGCTCTTCTGCAGCATCATCAAGTCCCAGCCCACACGCAAGACCTGCAAGGTGAGCCCCAGGATGGCTGCCGCCAAGGGAGGCCACTGGTCCCCTGGGAGCACCTCCAGGTTTCTTCCAATGAGAGGAACTCTGGTGGGTTGTTCTGTTCACTTCTGGGGAGAATGGGCTCATTGCTGCAGGGAGATTTGATGGTGCTCCTGTGTTCTGGTGGGTGGTACCTTGCACTGTTAGTGATAAGCCAGGGCAAGGAGAAGCCCTCGGGTCAGCTGGGCCTCTGGAGCCTCCCGGGGCTTCTCCACCTCCTGAGCAAATGCTAGGCCCAGCACAGCCTCCCCTCCCTCCAAGACCACATACTGCTGCTGCCAGAAGGGATCCCAGGTGCCTGCTGCCTGCCTGCCTGTCCACTGCCCACCTTTCTATAGGACACTCAGTGCACCTTCCCTGTGGGCCAGGCTTCCTGAGCAGCCCACAGTGTTGTTCTTGCTTCACCCTCACACCATCCTATGAGGCTGCTCCTACATGGTGCTCATCCCTCACTTAAGGCAATGGGGACAGAGAGGTTAAGTGTTCAACTGATGTCACACAGCACATGAGTAGTGAGCACATTCTGTTAGCCACTGGCTTGGTCACTGGCATGGGAATGGCTTCCTGGAGAAGATTGAGGGAGAGGCTACAGGACCAGGAGTGCTGGGGAAGGGGAGACTGGAGCAGCAGCACCCACCAGATCCACAGCCACAGTGACCCAGGATACCTGCTCATACGGCATCTTGACTATCTAACTGGTAAAGGAGAAATGAGGGGCAGCAGCTGGCGTTTGGTCTGTCCAGGACATTTTCCTGCTCACATGTAAACACGAGGAGCTTATAATGAATAAATATTTATAGTTTTCCTAAGCAAGGGGTTTCGTTTTTATGAAGGGACTGTTTTCCGAGAAATGCTTGAGGCTGGCCAGGGCAGCTTGCCCAGCTAGAGGACCTGTGCTTGGCTGATGTCCACTGCCCATGCTGGACCCTGGTGATGCCAAGCAAGGTCCATCCTCATCTGGCCCTGGGCCCTGTGGTGGTGACAGCAGGGGCACCAGTGCAGGCCACACATTTCACTCCTGGTGCTGGTCACTGACCAGCCCAGACAGCCCCATGTGGATTCCCAGGGGACCAAGAAGCTACAGATCCAGCGGTCGCCCTTGGCTGATGTCTGGCCCCCCTAGCCACCTCAGGGCTCCAGGAAGACACCAAAGGGGCCTAAAAGACAGGATGACCCCTCTGGAATGCCATCACTGCTGTGGTCAGAAGTGGTAGTGTGCCCAGGCTGGCTTTCAGGAGACCACAGCCCATGGCCTCCCCAGATGTTACCCACCATTTCTGGGAGGAGTGGCCCTGGGATGCTCCAGGAGGGGGCCAAAGTTCCTGCCAGCCCCTCCCCACATGCTGACTGAATCCACTGAGAGCTAGAGGACTGCCTCAGACACACCAAAACCAGCCCCGCCCCAGCAGGGGCCCAGTGAGAGTGGTGGCCGGGTGGGGGGACAGTCCCAGGAAGCCTGGATGGGACCAGTAGGGTGTGCCCAAATGGAGGCAGGCCAGCAGGGAGGAGATGGCCACCACAGGGGCCCAGTGCAGGGGCCAACTGCCCCCTTTGGGTGTAGAGTAGCATCATGACTGACAGCCAGAAGAGGAATGGAGAGGGGCAGGAAAGAGTGTGAGGGGCAGTGGCCATAGGCAAAGGCCCAGAGGCCCTGCAGGCAGGGTAGGTGAAGGAGGCCACTAGTGTGAGTGATGGGGTGGGCAGATGACCAAGAGGGGCAGCTGGAGGGCTCGGGAGGATCTTGGGTTGCCTCTGTGTGGAGAAGGCCTGAGCCAAGCAGGGCAAGAGGCTGGTGAGGGGAGGTGGCTGTGCTGGGGCTCATGCTGGGGAGGCAGCAGTGACCAGAGCTCCTGTGTACCTACAGCCTTGCTCACTGCTGTCCCTCTGTCATCCTTGAATTTCCTGGGCTACCTCCCCAATACGCTTCCTGCTCCCAAGGCCCAGACTGCACTTTGCAGACCCACACTGGGGCACCATGTGTTCTGGTCACCACAGAGCTCTTCTGGGCCACATAGTGGCCCCTGTGATAGCCCTGGGGCCCTGGGCTGTCCTCCTGGCTGGTTTTCTGGGAACCTTTATTGAGTGGTCTCCAGTGCTCAGCTCAACTGCATAAGGCCCTGAGCTGGAGGGGGGGTGTCAACGATTTGCACACCCCACAGAGCGGCCTCCAGGGGTCCCAGGCTGGCTGCCCCTCAGGAAAGGATGGGGCCTACACCTTCTTCCCAGCAGTACCAAGGGCCACCTTGGCCCTTCTTGGCCAGCTGACAGTCTGTCCTGTGTAGGAGCCATGCAGCTCCCCAGGCGGCTCCACCCCGGAAACTAAACCAGTCCTATGTCCTCTGGAATCAAAGCTGGACCTGGGAACCAGGAGCTGGGGAATGGCCTTCAGAATCCCCAGACCCTGGGAATTCTGCCATGGCTGGTTCTGGGCCATCCAAGGGCATAGCAGAGCCTGCCCTGGCCAGGGAAAACAGCCGCAGTCCCACAGTTGGGACCAAGCCTCCCGCTACAAGGGTCTGGGGAAACAAGTCACCTCCCCAAGGTGGGCAGGCAGAGGGCTCTCCAGGTCACCCAGTGGCAATGCCCTGGGGAGAGGGTAAGGCAGAATGGCAGAATCCCACTCCCGAAATTCCAGAGCCTTTGGAGCCAGGGGCTGGAAGGCAGACAGCTTTCCATGTGTGCCACCAACAACCTACTCAGAAGTGGGTTGTGGGGCCTTTGGGGTCCCAGGAGCTGATGGGCACACAAACCCATTCTGGAGAGAATGCGCCCTGCTGGGTTGGGACAGTCACAGAGCTGGAGCCCCTTCCCTACCTGGGATCCTACCAGGACCAGGGTCTGTCTTGAGGGCACAGCCTCTTTAGCCACCTGCAGTGCCATGTGACCCTGAGCATCACACTCTGCCTGCTGCTGGCAGGTGAGGGTGCTGGGGTGCCCCTGGAGTGTGGGGGTGGAGGCCAAGACTCCGCCCCTAGTGGCTCTGCCCCTTAGGACTTCCTCTTCCCTCAGTTCCTCAGGTTCTTTTTCAACCCCTTAAACCTATGCTCTTGGATCAAGGACGAATGGAGCCTCATCTACGAGACGGCCCATGTGAAGAAGAACTGGATCAACCCCCTAATGAGGTGAGGCAGCTGTGTGGGAATCCGTGTGCCTGGACAGACCCTGTCCCCACTCCAGGTGCCTCATGGGCGGGGGCCTCCTCATCCCCTTCCTGCCCTGAGAAGTTCCCTGAGTCAGAAAGTGCTGTGTTAGGGTGAGAGGGTCCAAGAAGCCCCAAGCCCTCTGCTCCCCTGCCTGGGACTGGGGAACAGGCGTGCTGCAGTGCTGCAGCCAGCCGACCCAGGGCCCTCCGTGCTGGAAGCCAACTGATGGCCAGAGGTCAGATGGCAAGAATCTGCTTTCTGCTCTGGAGCCCACCCACTGAGGGGTCTGTGACAGTGTCCCCAGTCCATCAGGGCTTTCTGCAGATCCCAAGAGTGTAGGCTAGGGAGGAGTTGGGAGAGCTCAGAGCTCAGCTCCTGATGCAATAAGGTCTAAATCTATCTCTGGTGTCCCCCGAGCCCCACTCTCAGGCCTGCCACCACAAAGCTGCTCTTGCCACCTTCCCTGCCTCCACAGGAGACCTGGGGCAAATGCAGTCACAGGCCAGGACCTGAGGCAAAACTGTCAGCATAGTTGCTCCGCCATGGGAGTTCCCACTGGGACCAGGACACAGCTGGGGTTCCCCAGGGAAACCAGACCTTGGGGCAGCCCAACAGAACTCTTCCGAGCACACCCTCTCCAGAGCACCCATTCCCGAGGCTGTGTGGAGGGCAGTTGGGCTCCTTGCAGGGGATATGGCCCTAGCCCCACCTGACTCCTGCAGCTCCCTCCACCTGTCACGAAAGAGCCACTCTGGAATGTTCCTTTTCCACTGCCAGCTTCCTTTCCTAGCTCCTGACTTCCTCCATCTGTGCCATCTGCTCTGTCCCAGATCAGCTCCCTCTAGGTCCCGCCTGCCACTTGTCCGCAGAGCCTCCCAGCTTCCTACTGTGGGATGTCCCTGGCCTCCAGATGCCTTCCTGTCAGTGCCTCTGGGGCTGTTCTTTTATCTTGCAAGGGGAGTGCTGATACCAAGTCATGGGGGTATGCCTAGACTGTGTCTGAGAGAAGTAGAAGGGCTTTTGGCCCCTCACCACTCTCAGCCTGTTGGAGGCCTCAGTGCTTGGGGGTCCTCCAGATTCCAGGGCCACCTTGTTGACCCAGGGACTCCACTTTTGCCTTCAAGATGGCAGCCAGAGATCCAAGAGCTTGTTGATCAACTGGAGGGAGTGTCAGCTAGTCAAACTGCTATCTTCAAGACCAAGGCCAAGGTCACAGAGCCCAAGGAATTCAACCTGACTACACCCAGGCCCCGGGCCATTCCAGTACCTGAGCCAGTCCCCACCATGGCCAAGCCAAGACAAGTGAGTTGGGCATGTACAGTGGGTACAGGCTGGGATCCTCCAGGGCCAAGAGTGCACTGGACCAGGCCAGGATCATTCCAACACCCCTAAACCCCATGGAGAAGCCAGCCAGCTGGCCTGGAGATCACCACATTCTTGGGTCCAAGCTATCAGGCTTGGACTGTTATGCTCGAATTCGGGACCCCCAAAGACCACCAGAGACCCAAGATTGATGCAAGCAGCAAAGAGGTGTTTATTGCGAGCTAGCTCGGTCCTCCGCACGCACACACAGCAACTGGTGACGCTGAGAGGCCCCGAGCCCAGGGTTTGCAGCAGTTTTATACATTCTTTGGAGAGGGCAGGGACTTCACATACATCATAGCATCTCTTAGCAAATCATCACACACCGCGGGAAAATCAAATAACAACTCTAAAACATGATTAGCACATTCACTGGTGGGAACAAGTTGCGTAGGGGTGATTGGTCAGTACAAAAGTGGTATTCGTTTGAACTGATTGGCTTGAGCCAAGAGGGGTGTTCGAACTACATGGTTTCCCCACATGTTATCAACCACCATAAACTACTGGGAGGGTCATCTGGCATCCCAGGTATTTCCCTGTCTCATGCTGATTGGTGGCTGCTAGGGGGCTGCTATGGGTCCCCACCTAGCCTGACTGAGTCAGGGACACCTGGCGCAGCAGATCTCTCCTGTTATTTGTAGATAAGCACATTCCCACCCTGCTAAGTTGTTTAGGAGTGCTCTGTGGGTTTTTCCAAGGACTAAGGTCATGTCCCTTCCTTGGACAGGCTTTGCTCTGAGGTAGAGGCTGGTTTTTCAGGACTAGACCTATCTGGAGGTGAAATATGAAGTATCTATCCAGACCTATCTGGAGGTGGAGCTTGAAGCCCACATTGATCCCTAGGGCAATATGCCACCCTTCCTGTTAGCTACTCCATGTGCAGATCACAGTGCACATGCTCTTGGGCCCATTGGAAGGCAATAACATCTGTCATGCCTGTCTCCGCCTCCACACCTCATTTGTTTCATCAGCTGAAGGCCTCTCCATCGCCCCTTCCACCTCTCTGGCTTATCAGTCAGGATGCTCTTGACAGCAAGTAATGGGAAATGTAGTTCAAACTGGCTTAGACAATACACTTCTCATTGGCTGATTCTTATGGCCAGAGTAGGATAGCCTTCAGGCTTAGTTTGATTAGGATTCCAACTCTGCTTCTCTATGACCTTCTATTGTTATGCTCGAATTCGGGATCCCCAAAAGACCACCAGAGACCAAGATCGATGTAAACAGCAAAGAGGTGTTTATTGCGAGCTAGCTCAGTCCTCCACAGGCACACACAGCAACTGGTAACACTGAGAGGCCCCGAGCCCAGGGTTTGCAGCAGTTTTATACATTCTTTGGAGAGGGCAGGGACTTCACATACATCATAGCATCTCTTAGCAAATCATCACACACCGCGGGAAAATCAGATAACAACTCTAAAACATGATTAGCACATTCACTGGTGGGAACAAGTTGCGTAGGGGTGATTGGTCAGTACAAAGGGGGTATTCATTTGAACTGATTGGTTTAAGCCAAGAGGGGTGTTCATGCTGAGCTACGTGGTTTCCCAACAGTCAGGGACACCTGGCACAGAAGATCTCTCCTGTTATTTGTAGATAAACAACTTAGCAGGGTGGGAATGTGCCTAGGAGTGCTCTGTGGGTCTTTCCAAGGACAAAGGTCATGTCCCTTCCTTGGACAGGCTTTGCTCTGAGGCAGAGGCTGGTTTTTCACTATTCTAGTTTCCCCTGTAAGTCAACTTCATCTTTGGGCTAACTTCCTTTGTTGTTAAAATTCATGTCTCATACCCACAGTCTATACCATCCAGGTCATAAGAGAATATCTTGCGCCAAAAATTCCCTAAAAAAATCTGATTGGATCAGTTCAGGTTTCATGCATGCCTTTGTTACCGCTGTTTACCTCAGTGTTGAAGTATAACACCAGAGAAGCACAAGGAGGCAAGTTTAGAGTGGAAAGTAGAAGTTTATTAAAGGACAGTAGAAAAGACTTCTCCCGGGAAGAAGAAGGGGATCAAGAGGTGGAATCCACGGAAGGCGGATGTCTTCCCCTTTTTATAGCTAAGGTCTTCTTTCAGCTTTCCCTCATTCCTGTCCTTTGTTCTGTTATCTTTCAGTGAAGGCCCAAAGGGTGGAGGACAGGTGGGCAGAAGGAGTAATCTGGGCAGGGAGGGCTTTTGGATTGGCATCTCCTTGTTTGCTGGGAGCTGCTTCATTAACATTTCCTTGGGATGGGCTCAGGGCCTTGGGGACATTTTCAATTCCCCCTAGTGCTGCTCTGATTTCCTGGACTCCATTTTCTATAATGGCCTCCACTCTTTTTTTTTTTAAATTTTTTTTAGAGAGAGAGAATTTTTTAATATTTATTTTTTAGTTTACGGCGGACACAACATCTTTGTTTGTATGTGGTGCTGAGGATCGAACCCGGGCTGCACGCATGCCAGGCGAGCGCGCTACCGCTTGAGCCACATCCCCAGCCCTCCACTCTTGATTTTACTCAATATTAGACCCGATTTACCTAACTACATAACTACCTATCTATAAATGTGGCTCACCTTGATCTGGTTTCGGTCATCAGGAGTGTGACGGCCTTGAGCTCTCCTCAAGCTTTGGCCATGTGCTCAGCCTCCCAGATCAAATCTAATTCTCCAACAGGACTACGGGGTGTAAGGAAGAGTAAGAGGACAGTGCGGGGAGGTCCCATCCTACCTTCCTTCAGGTCTCATTAAAATCTCTTTTTCTTTCTTTTTTTAAATATTTATTTGTTTGTTTAGTGGTAGTTGAACACAGCATCTTTATTATTTATTTATGTTCATTTGATGCTGAGGATTGAACTCAGCCTTGCACGTTCGAGGCGAGTGCTCTACCACTGAGCCACAACCCCATCCCCTCATCCATTTATTTCACCAGACCTCATCCATTTTATTTGTCCTACATTTTAATGCCACCAACATAGTGCTGGCTCAGAGCAGACCCTCAGTAAATACTTGTTGAATGGATGGATGGATGATCAGATGGATAGGTGGATGGATTAATGGATGAATGGATTGATGATGAATGGGTGGCGTTTTAGTCAGTTTTTTTGTTGCTATGACTAAAGGACCTGACCAAAACAACTGTAAAGTAGGAAAGGTTTATTTGGGGGCTCACAGTTTTAGAAGTCTTAGTCCATAGAAGGCCAGTTCCATTCCTCCTAGTCCGTAGAAGGCTGGCTTCATTCCTCAGGGCTCCAGGTGAGGCAGAACATCATGGTGGAAGGTTGTGGCAAAGGGAAACAGCTCATATCATGATCAGAAAGCACAGAGAGTGAATTTCTACTCTCCAGATACAAAATACATACCCCAAAGTCCCACTTCCTCCAGCCACACCCTACCACTTCAGTTACCACTGTTAATCCCTAACAAGGATTAATTCACTGATTGAGATAAGACTCTTATAACCCAATCATTTCTTCTCTGAATACATGTGAGCTTTGATTTTACTCCATATTAGACCCGATTTACCTAACTACACTAACTACCTCACATCCAAACCATAACAGGTGGTTAAATGGATGGATAGCTAGATAGACAGGCATGGGCAGATAGATGATCAGGGACCTTGTTGTTAAACAAGTTACCCCACCTGCAGGATCTTTGGCATTCCTGACGCCATCTCTCCAGGGATCCATGTCTTTTTCTCAGGTCATGGGGCCCTCTGCTCCTCTCTCTCTCTCTCTCTCTCTCTCTCTCTCTCTCTCTCTCTCTCTCTCTCTCTCTCTCCCTCTCCCTCCCTCCCTCCCTCCCCCCTCCCCCCCCCACATGGCACAGCTCCTGCCCTGCTCCTCCACATGCTGGTTCCTGTTCTCTCTGTGTCTCTCAGCACAAGTGGTAAGCTATTGGGGGACATTTGCCTTCCCTGCAGCGCTGTAGGCTTCTTCCTTCTAGTTGCCTCCCCACCCCCCACCCCCACCCCGTTCCTTCTCAGGACGTCCTTTCCCCTCCCAGGCCAAGGCCTCTCCAATTCACTCACTCACCTGTTCAGCAGTTACAGCATGCCTAGGATGTGCCGGGCACCATGCCTTCCTGAGCTGGCTCTCCCACTGGGACCCTGACAGAATACCAGGATGAAGAAAACTCATGGTGTATTAGCTGGCGACAAGTGCTTAGGAGAAAGCTACATGGGGCAAGGAGACAAGAAACATTGAAGCATTTGTGACTCCAGGTAGTAAGGGCTGGAAGGAGCAAGTGGGCCAGGGGTTGTCAAGGAAAGAACAGACCATGAGCAAAGGCCCTGGGAGAGCGTCTTCCTCCCTCAAGTGTTGGAGGGCATCCAGGAGGGGCAGGGAAGGGAGGAAGCGGGCTAGTCACACACCTACTGGCTGGAACAAACTCAGGACACAAGCCAAGTTAGGCCAGTGCCAGCACAAGTCCCCTCCAGCTGCCGTGGCTGAGGAGGGAAGTGACAGGCAGTTTGTGGAGAAGCAGAAGGGCAAGACTGGATATGGGTGCGAGTAGGATAGCCTTCGAGGATAACTCTGAGGCCTTGACCAGGGCTCAGGGCAGACAGCATCAGGATCCAGGTCTGCAAGGCTGGGGTTGGGAGGGCTGGGGGAAGACGAGGGCTCCAGCTGGACACCGCTGAGTCTGTGGAGCCTGCGAGACACTAGGAAGGAGGTGGGAGCGAGGATTCAGCAGTCTGGAGTTCAGGGGTATCCAGGCTGGCTTTGGCCTGCCTCCTGATGGACAGGACTCCTGGCAGGTTATGGAGAGCCTCCTATGGCTGAACCCAGCAGAGGTGCCCATGGCTACCCTGGTCACTGCAGGATCCCTCAGGGGCAGCCCACTCTTCTGGAGTCCATGACATTCTCCCAGCCCTCTGCTTAGTCACCGTCTGTATGTTCCCTCACTCTGGGGAGCTGGCAGCACCCCCATCTTGCTCCCTGCTGATCCTGGCCATCTCATCCAGGCCAGCAACGTGCCCTCAGTGCTACTGACCTCACTTCTGCCTCTGCCCACCCCCATCCCATACTCCAAACCCTACACCAACTCCTGGCCTGAGCATGTCCCTCCCGACCAGCACCCAGGGTCCCAAGCAAGGCTCAGCAGGTCCTGCTCCAGCCCCACTTCTCTTGGGGCCCAGGTCACCATTCGCTATCCTGTTACTGGCACCACCCACCCCTTTGCCCACCCTGTGGTCACATGCAAATGCCAAAATCCTTTTCAATGCCAAAATGCTGGTTTTGCTAGACCCCTCTAAATCACAGGCACTGACCAAAGATTCTCCCTCCCACCACCCCACCAGGTCCCTCGGAGTACCTACCAGGAGCCCAAGGAGCAACAGCAGCTGCAGATCCTCAAGAGGCACAACCGCCTGAAGGCCGAGGTGGCCACACGTGTCCTCTGCCTCTCTAGAGGCCCCATCAGGACCTGTTAGGAGAGGGGGAAAGTGGGACAAGCAGGGGGAGGGTGGGAGATGAGGGCTAGGCACGCGTGGTAGAAGCTGGCAGAGCAGGAGCTGTGTTCTGTCTCGGCAGGAGCTGCTGCTGAGGGCGAACGTGGAGGAACTGCGGTGCGCCATGCCCAGGGCACACAGAGCGCCGCCTGAGCAGGTAACAGTGGCCCTTCAGACCCAAGGCCAGTCTGCATGACAGCAAGGAAAGCTCCTTCTGCCAGGTGTGGTGGCCACATCTATGATCCCAGGGAGGATCTCAAGTCCAAGACCAGCCTGGGCAATGGAGCGAGACCCTGTCTCAAGATAAAATTTTAGAAAGGGCTGGGGTATACCAAGAAAATCATTTTCAATGCCAAAATGCCAACATGATGACACACTAATTGAGCCCTTTCCCACCATGGGCAGATTCCCAGTAACAGCGGGAGTGACCCTGGAGCCCCGCAGAGTGGGCAGGATAGGACCCGCCCTGAGGCACAGGAGGAAGGATGCACAGGGGAGGAAACAGCCTGGCTGCCATCTCTGGGCTTCCAGGTGCCTCTGAGCATGTCACACTTCTACCTGACAAGACAAGCCAGGGATGTTGGCCAGGGAGAAAAAGCAAAGGGACAGGAGACGGAGAGTTTCATCTGCAGGAACGCATTCTGGAGCACAGGCAGTCCCTCTGCAGCAGCAGGGCAGGCCCAGGCCCCGTGTCCCCACAGCGGCATGCCCAGGGGCAACCACAGTCTTCTACCCCCACACTGTGGCTCATCATGCCCCTGCCAGCTGGATCAGCAGGACCACAGGAAGTTGGGCAGGGGACAGAGACTCAGGGTGCTGCCCAGGAAAGGGCCTGGGGCTGTGAGACCTCACGCCTGGGGGAGCTAAAGAGTAGGACATTGAGCCCTAAGGCCCAGTTGCCCCATCTTGGGACCACCGACCCCAGGCCCAGCAGGCCCTGCATCTTCCTTGCCCCCACCTGGGCAGTCCAGTGCCTCAGAAGACCTAGGAAAACACTGAAGGCAGATGCTGCCCTGGGGACCAGGGTGGGAACACTGGAGTTGGACAAAGGGGAGTGAGCTGGGTTTTCTAGGCATGCTGGGCCAGCATCCACCCAGGAGGTCTGGGGGCACTTAGAGGGCACAGGTGCCAGGCTATGCCTCTGCCTGACTTCTGCAGGACTCCAAGAAGAAGCTGGGGTGCCCAACCCACATCCAAAAATCCCCAAAGCTGACCTTCTACAGGGTAAGGGGCACTCCTGGCCAGTCAGGCCTCCCTGGCACCCCCCCCCCAATACCTCCCAATACCTGTTCTGCCCCTGTAAGCTCTGAGGGTAGGAACTGGGGGACCCAGGGGCCCTGAGGATGGCCTTGCCCTAGAGGCAGAGGGAAGTACTTGAGTAAGGGCAAGTGGTTAGGGCACGATGGAGGGCACTGGCTGCCCCTGAGTGCCCCCAACTAGCCCCTCCCTTCCTGCAGCCTGACAATATCCCTATCAAGTTGAACACTGCTGCCATCCTGCGAGAAGGGGCCTTGTACCAGAAGCAGGTGGAAAAAGAGCTGCAGAGGTGAGGGACTGGTGGGGACTAGAGCTTCCCTGTGGCCCTCTGCCAGTCTTGCTCTGTGCCACCCTTGAGAGCAGAGGCTGGAGGAGAGGCCTGGTGGCTGGGCAGCTCAGTGGAGAAGGGGTCTGGGGTACTAAAGATGTTGAAGGGAAAAGCAAACTCAGTTTCTCCTGCATTCTCACACTACAACACTTGTGGTGCCCACCAAGCAAGCAATGCTGCCACCATGGACACAGCTGGGTGTCCTCCAACTCAGTTCTGCTCTGACGCTACACAGCATCACGTAGAGAGAAAACCCAGGGGTACTCTTACCTTGGTGCAGTCATGCAGTATCATGCCCCAACCTCATCCCAGATCCACCTAGGCAGAAGAAAACCCAGTGGGACACTCCTTCAGGCCCACTCACATGAGTATGAGCATAGTGTCCCTTCCTGCCTGGGTCTGGCTCTCCAGACAGCTACATGCAGGCCCCTACCCACCCAGGGCTCAGGGCCTCCCGCAGTCTGCCTCTCTTGCTGGCAGACAAAGCAGTTCTTTGGGCACTGATGACCCAGTAGCAGTAGAAAGGAAGCTAAGGCAAGGAGTGTAAACCCAGGCCTAGGTTTAACTGGGGAAGCGGGGTACGGTCCAGGAAAGGGGAGACAGTCCTGGGAGCAAGACATCAGGCTACCCTGAGCAAAGGAAGGGCCAGCTTTTTATCAGGTTACTGTGCAGAGCTAGGGTCTGGCATCTCTCACTCATCGTGTGTGTGTGTGTGTGTGTGTGTTAAAGAATTCCCTCCTTGTAGAGGACTTGGATCCTTAGTTGCTTAGTTTACTCAGAGACACCAATATCTGGCTTTTATGGTGCATCTGGTCTTATGGTCATCTTGGACCTTGCAATAAGATTGTTGAGAAAAGTTAGGGGGAGGGAGAAAGGGAAATGCTGCCAATTTTAAGGAATGACGAGGTGGGGCTTGAGGCCTCAGCGTTTCTCTATCCTTTCCACATACCATATTTTTAGGGCTGATAGGTGAATTATGGCCTGAGTGTCCCCCTCTGTCCCTGTAGTGGTCCCTGACTGGCTGCTAGACAGCCATGTCTGCTCTGCTGCCGCTCCCCACATCCTCTCATTTTGTGGACCCAGGTGGCCACCTAAGCTGAGCACATGGGACATCTGCTTGTCATTCAGTCACTGTGCAGACTTGCAAGGGAGCTCTTCTGATGTGTCGGGTCCCACTAATGAGCTCCCCAGAGTTCCACAGGCCATGCCCCAGTCAGACATCCCTTTGATAGGTCCTATTGCCCTTCTGCCTGACCATGTGACCAGGCCCTTGGCCACTGCCTGCAAGCCAGCCAAGACCTAAACAGGGGTCCCTCCCTTGTCCAGTTCTTCAACTGCAGTCCAACCCACCGGGAGGACTCCTTCCCGTCTCCAGTTAGAGCAGTGTCTTTCCAAACCTGCTGCCCGCCTGGTTCCTCCTCTTGGAACTGCTGCCCACACACCAGACAGCTCCTGCTCAACCAGCCAAGAGCTATCCACAAGGTACTGTGGGACTCAGCAGTCCCTCACCCAGGCCAGCCAGCCCTTGGGGAAAGAGGCCCATTTAACAGTACCCCCACTGATTCCCTGGGGGGCACCGGGGGTATGACCCTATAAAAAACCATCTCTATTTCTTTTTCTTTTTCTTTTTTTTTTTTTGAGAGAGAGAATTTTAATATTTATTTTTTTAGTTTTCAGTGGACACAACATCTTTGTTTGTATGTGGTGCTGAGGATCGAACCCGAGCCGCACGCATGCCAGGCGAGCGCGCTACTGCTTGAGCCACATCCCCAGCCCCCATCTCTATTTCATTATGGAACACTGCTGGGTGCTACCACCCGAGACAGCATTTCTCCAATGTTGCATAGAAAATTTGGCATGAATAGGTGCTTTTTTTAATATTAATTTTTTAGCTTTAGGTGGACACAATATCTTTATTTTACATTTATGTGGTGCTAAGGATCGAACCCAGTGCCTTGTGCATGCTAGGTGAGCGCTCTACCACTGAGCCACAACCCCAGCCCCTGAATAGGTGCTTTTTATCAATTTGTTCCTTATACTGATGCCTGGCAGGGGAGGTTGTTAACTTGTGGGATCATCACCTTGGCATCTGTACTCAAAATAGAATAGCTTGTGGCAAACCACTACTTTACAAAATAAGGTCATTCAGGACAGGCACAGCCTGAGAGCTGCTGTTCTACACATCATGGAGTCACCAGGGCAGGCGTAGCCTGAGGACTGCTGTCCTGCACACCATGGAGTCACCAGGGCAGGTACAGCCTGAGGACTGCTGTCCTACACACCATGGAGTCACTCAGGGCAGGCACAGCCTGAGGACTGCTGTCCCGTACACCATGGAGTCACCAGGGCAGGCACAGCCTGAGGACTGCTGTCCTGCATACCATGTAGTCACCAGGGCAGGTGCAGCCTGAAGACTGCTGTCCCATACACCATGGAGTCACTCAGGGCAGGCGCAGCCTGAGGACTGCTGTCCTGCACACCATGGAGTCACCAGGGCAGGCACAGCCTGAGGACTGCTGTCCCATACACCATGGAGTCACCAGGGCAGGTGCAGCCTGAGGACTGCTGTCCTACACCATGGAGTCACCAGGGCAGGTGCAGCCTGAGGACTGCTGTCCCATACACCATGGAGTCACTCAGGGCAGGCGCAGCCTGAGGACTGCTGTCCTACACACCATGGAGTCACCAGGGCAGGCACAGCCTGAGGACTGCTGTCCCGTACACCATGGAGTCACCAGGGCAGGCACAGCCTGAGAGCTTCTGTTCATCCCATAGTCACTCGGAGCAGTGCACAGCCTGCTCACCACAGAAAACCTCCAAATGTCGTAATTCTGTCAACCCCTACAATTTTATGAGTCCCTGTAACTTCTCTTCTCCACCCCAGGCCACTTTGCCCGCTCTCATGTGAAAGGTCAATCTTGATATGGCTGCCTGTTTTCCCAGGAGATTTCAAATCAGATTTCTCATTGTGATCTTGGCCTTCTGACCTCTTTAACTTCTCTGAATTTAAATGGAACATACCTATATGGAGCCCTTCAATGATGGGGGCCAAGCAAGGGCTCTCTCTGTCCCACCCAGCCTTCCACAGTGCTGTACCATGGGCCTAATTTTACCCATCATTTTCCATTTTTGATCCCAGTTTTTGATAATTGTCTAATGAAAACCAGTCTGCTGGGATGAGTACCAGAGACTCTCCTTTTTCTCTTTTTCTCTCAGTTTCAGTCCTGTGGGTGTTGATTTACATTACTTTTTTTTTCTTAAGGTGAATTTAAAAATTTTTTTTAGTTATAGATGGACACAATACCTTTATTTTATTTTTTTTAATGTGGTGCTGAGGATGAAACCCAGTGCCTCACAAGTACTAAGCAAGTGCTCTACCACTGAGCCCCAGCCCCAGCCCTTAATAACAGAAAGTTCTGCCTTCCTGGGAGGAGCCATTGCCTATGCCCTCGCCTTTCCCCATCCTTTTGTTAATCACCTCAAGCTCATTACCATAGAGTATAGCTCAGCTTTGCAGCAGTAAGTTCACACAGGAGTCCCTGAAAAGGAGCCCCTAACTGCTACTCTTACCACAATCTGGGCAGTGGGCACACTTGGCAGGTAAAAATCCTGGTCATCCTAAAGCCAAGCATTTACCTTGTCTACAAAACTATTTTATCTGGAGTGTTCCAGCAATAGGGGGTGTTGACAAAATAATTCTGCTTTAAGAGAAATAAATGCAAGTCATAAAGGCCCAGGATTCAAGTTACTCAGAATGACAAGCTGCACTGTTGGAGAGGAAACAAACAGAGCAAATGAGTCATAAATCAGTATTGTCACTAGGTACATGGCTGGGGTCATCAGGTAGGTGGGCCACAGAGAGGCAGGGAAGTCTCTCCTGCAGGACGGAGGTGTTCTCCTAGGGTGTTTGCAGCTTTTGGCTGGTGGAGGCTAGAGGTCTGCTACAGGGAGTACTACCTCCTGGGAAGTCGGTGCGGCTGGAGGCACAAGGTCAGTGAATGGCTGTGAAAGCACTGCGGAGGCACCCACCCACAGAGCAAAGGGGTAAGGGGTTCCCAGCCACCAGTTCCTACGATCTCAGGAAGAATTTCAAATAAGTCTCAAAATTAACAGCAGGAGTTTATTAAAAGAGTCAGAATACAGTGCCCTGGTGCACAGCTGCAATCCCAGAGACTCGGGAGGCTGAGGCAGAAGAATTGCAAGTTCAAAGCCAGCCTCAGCAACTTGGTGAGGCCCTAAGCAACTTGATAGACCCGACCTCAAAGTAAAAATAAAAGGGCTGGGGATGTGGCTCAGTGGTTTAGTACTCCTGGGTTCAATTCCTGGTATAAAAAAAGAAAAAAAAAGTTAGAGTACAGACATTTAGGCACCAAAGGGGTTGCCCGGGGAGGACTAGCCCTTGCAGATCCAGGATTTTTAAGGATTTGGGTCCCTTTGCTCTAGCTTTGGTTTTTCTTTCCCCTAGGAGGCTTATTACCCCTCTGTTGAGCCTTAAGCAATTTTTCTTTGTGAGGGTCCTGATGACCTGGTTACAAGGAGAGGGTTTGAGGACTGGTCACAAGGGACAGGTGTGACATGGTCTTGAAATAATAGTTCCCTTAAGGGTTATAATTAAGTGTACCTGTGGAGGATTGGCATACTAGTTCCCATTTTCCGGTTGCTTGTCTGCTTTGTGAAGTTTTTATTACCCCAGTCCTGTGGCCTGTGGACTCTTGGGTTCACATGTCTGAGGTACCCCTGTAAGCTATTGCAGTTGACTGTCCTCCCTACCCACCTGCTCATGGCTAAACTGTCTACCTAATACAAGGACTTAAGCCAGCCCAGGTTGGGGGCTGGGGCTGGGGCTCAGTGGCAGAGCGCTTGCCTAGCGTGTATGAGGCACTGAGTTTATTTGGGGCTCACAATTTCAAAGATTCAGGCCGGCCGTGGTTGGCCAACTCCAGTGCTCTGGACTCAAGGTGAAGCAGACATCATGGTGGAAGGGCAGGTTGAGGAAAGCTGTTCATCTCATGGCAGCTAGAAAGCAGTGAGGGCGGGAGGAAGGGAGGAAGATGTTGTCCAGGCCATGCCCTCAGTAACCTAGTTCCTCCAGCCAAGCCCCACCTGAGGATGACATTTAACACTCAGTAATCCATTTAAATTATTAACCCATCAAATGGATTAATCCACAGATGAGATTAAAAGTCTCATAATTTCACCACTGAACATTCCTGCATTGCCTAACACATGAGCTTTTGGGGGCACATTAAAAATTCAAACCATAATAGCAAACAAGTGGATGAAGGGGTGGTCTATGCTAGGTAGTGGCACATGCTAGGTAGGTAGGTTGGTGAGGTGTCTGGGTGAGGGGGTAGGTAGGTTGGTGAGGTGTCTGGGTGAGGGGGTAGGTAGGTTGGTGAGGTGTCTGGGTGAGGGGGTAGGTAGGTTGGTGGGGTGTCTGGGTGGGGGGGTAGGTAGGTTGGTGAGGTGTCTGGGTGTGGGGGTAGGTAGGTTGGTGAGGTGTCTGGGTGAGGGGGTAGGTAGGTTGGTGAGGTGTCTGGGTGAGGGGGTAGGTAGGTTGGTGAGGTGTCTGGGTGAGGGGGTAGGTAGGTTGGTGAGGTGTCTGGGTGAGGGGGTAGGTAGGTTGGTGAGGTGTCTGGGGGAGGGGGTAGGTAGGTTGGTGAGGTGTCTGGGGGGGGGGGTAGGTAGGTTGGTGAGGTGTCTGGGTGAGGGGGTAGGTAGGTTGGTGAGGTGTCTGGGTGAGGGGGTAGGTAGGTTGGTGAGGTGTCTGGGTGTGGGGGTAGGTAGGTTGGTGAGGTGTCTGGGTGAGGGGGGTAGGTAGGTTGGTGATGTGTCTGGGTGAGGGGGGTAGGTAGGTTGGTGAGGTGTCTGGGTGAGGGGGGTAGGTAGGTTGGTGATGTGTCTGGGTGAGGGGGTAGGTAGGTTGGTGATGTGTCTGGGTGAGGGGGTAGGTAGGTTGGTGAGGTGTCTGGGTGGGGGGGGTAGGTAGGTTGGTGAGGTGTCTGGGTGTGGGGGTAGGTAGGTTGGTGAGGTGTCTGGGTGAGGGGGTAGGTAGGTTGGTGAGGTGTCTGGGTGAGGGGGGTAGGTAGGTTGGTGAGGTGTCTGGGTGAGGGGGTAGGTAGGTTGGTGAGGTGTCTGGGTGAGGGGGTAGGTAGGTTGGTGAGGTGTCTGGGTGAGGGGGGTAGGTAGGTTGGTGAGGTGTCTGGGTGAGGGGGGTAGGTAGGTTGGTGAGGTGTCTGGGTGAGGGGGTAGGTAGGTTGGTGAGGTGTCTGGGTGAGGGGGGTGGGTAGGTTGGTGAGGTGTCTGGGTGAGGGGGTAGGTAGGTTGGTGATGTGTCTGGGTGAGGGGGGTAGGTAGGTTGGTGAGGTGTCTGGGTGTGGGGGTAGGTAGGTTGGTGAGGTGTCTGGGTGAGGGGGTAGGTAGGTTGGTGAGGTGTCTGGGTGAGGGGGGTAGGTAGGTTGGTGAGGTGTCTGGGTGTGGGGGTAGGGAGGTTGGTGAGGTGTCTGGGTGTGGGGGTAGGTAGGTTGGTGAGGTGTCTGGGTGTGGGGGTAGGTAGGTTGGTGAGGTGTCTGGGTGTGGGGGTAGGTAGGTTGGTGAGGTGTCTGGGTGAGGGGGTAGGTAGGTTGGTGAGGTGTCTGGGTGAGGGGGGTAGGTAGGTTGGTGAGGTGTCTGGGTGTGGGGGTAGGTAGGTTGGTGAGGTGTCTGGGTGAGGGGGTAGGTAGGTTGGTGAGGTGTCTGGGTGAGGGGGTAGGTAGGTTGGTGAGGTGTCTGGGTGAGGGGGGTAGGTAGGTTGGTGATGTGTCTGGGTGAGGGGGGTAGGTAGGTTGGTGAGGTGTCTGGGTGAGGGGGTAGGTAGGTTGGGGAGGGGTCGGGGGGGGGGGGTAGGTAGGTTGGTGAGGTGTCTGGGTGAGGGGGTAGGTAGGTTGGTGAGGTGTCTGGGTGAGGGGGGTAGGTAGGTTGGTGAGGTGTCTGGGTGAGGGGGGTAGGTAGGTTGGTGAGGTGTCTGGGTGAGGGGGGTAGGTAGGTTGGTGAGGTGTCTGGGTGAGGGGGTAGGTAGGTTGGTGAGGTGTCTGGGTGAGGGGGTAGGTAGGTTGGTGAGGTGTCTGGGTGAGGGGGTAGGTAGGTTGGTGAGGTGTCTGGGTGAGGGGGTAGGTAGGTTGGTGAGGTGTCTGGGTGAGGGGGGTAGGTAGGTTGGTGATGTGTCTGGGTGAGGGGGGTAGGTAGGTTGGTGAGGTGTCTGGGTGAGGGGGGTAGGTAGGTTGGTGAGGTGTCTGGGTGAGGGGGTAGGTAGGTTGGTGAGGTGTCTGGGTGAGGGGGTAGGTAGGTTGGTGAGGTGTCTGGGTGAGGGGGGTAGGTAGGTTGGTGAGGTGTCTGGGTGAGGGGGTAGGTAGGTTGGTGAGGTGTCTGGGTGAGGGGGGTAGGTAGGTTGGTGAGGTGTCTGGGTGAGGGGGTAGGTAGGTTGGTGAGGTGTCTGGGTGAGGGGGTAGGTAGGTTGGTGAGGTGTCTGGGTGTGGGGGTAGGTAGGTTGGTGAGGTGTCTGGGTGTGGGGGTAGGTAGGTTGGTGAGGTGTCTGGGTGTCGGGGTAGGTAGGTTGGTGAGGTGTCTGGGTGAGGGGGGTAGGTAGGTTGGTGAGGTGTCTGGGTGTGGGGGTAGGTAGGTTGGTGAGGTGTCTGGGTGAGGGGGGAGGTAGGTTGGTGAGGTGTCTGGGTGAGGGGGGTAGGTAGGTTGGTGAGGTGTCTGGGTGAGGGGGTAGGTAGGTTGGTGAGGTGTCTGGGTGAGGGGGTAGGTAGGTTGGTGAGGTGTCTGGGTGAGGGGGTAGGTAGGTTGGTGAGGTGTCTGGGTGAGGGGGTAGGTAGGTTGGTGAGGTGTCTGGGTGAGGGGGGTAGGTAGGTTGGTGAGGTGTCTGGGTGAGGGGGTAGGTAGGTTGGTGAGGTGTCTGGGTGAGGGGGGTAGGTAGGTTGGTGAGGTGTCTGGGTGAGGGGGGTAGGTAGGTGGGTGAGGTGTCTGGGTGAGGGGGTAGGTAGGTTGGTGAGGTGTCTGGGTGAGGGGGGTAGGTAGGTTGGTGAGGTGTCTGGGTGAGGGGGTAGGTAGGTTGGTGAGGCGTCTGGGAGAGGGGGGTAGGTAGGTTGGTGAGGTGTCTGGGTGAGGGGGTAGGTAGGTTGGTGAGGTGTCTGGGTGAGGGGGTAGGTAGGTTGGGGAGGTGTCTGGGTGTGGGGGTAGGTAGGTTGGTGAGGTGTCTGGGTGTGGGGGTAGGTAGGTTGGTGAGGTGTCTGGGTGTCGGGGTAGGTAGGTTGGTGGGGTGTCTGGGGGGGGGGGGTAGGTAGGTTGGTGAGGTGTCTGGGTGTGGGGGTAGGTAGGTTGGTGAGGTGTCTGGGTGAGGGGGTAGGTAGGTTGGTGAGGTGTCTGGGTGAGGGGGGTAGGTAGGTTGGTGAGGTGTCTGGGTGAGGGGGTAGGTAGGTTGGTGAGGTGTCTGGGTGAGGGGGTAGGTAGGTTGGTGAGGTGTCTGGGTGAGGGGGTAGGTAGGTTGGTGAGGTGTCTGGGTGAGGGGGTAGGTAGGTTGGTGAGGTGTCTGGGTGAGGGGGGTAGGTAGGTTGGTGAGGTGTCTGGGTGAGGGGGTAGGTAGGTTGGTGAGGTGTCTGGGTGAGGGGGTAGGTAGGTTGGTGAGGTGTCTGGGTGAGGGGGTAGGTAGGTTGGTGAGGTGTCTGGGTGAGGGGGGTAGGTAGGTTGGTGAGGTGTCTGGGTGAGGGGGTAGGTAGGTTGGTGAGGTGTCTGGGGGAGGGGGGAGGTAGGTTGGTGAGGTGTCTGGGTGAGGGGGTAGGTAGGTTGGTGAGGTGTCTGGGTGAGGGGGGTAGGTAGGTTGGTGAGGTGTCTGGGTGAGGGGGGTAGGTAGGTTGGTGAGGTGTCTGGGTGAGGGGGTAGGTAGCAGCCCATGCCCATGAGGACCACTACCTTCCAGGGAACCTGTGGCCTCCTGGTAGACCTGATCCTTGGTCCCTCTGTCCCCAGGGTTGATAAGCTTGTGGATGGAGCTGGGGACTTCTCTGAATTCCTTGAGTGGCAGAAGAAGATGCAAGCAAAGGCCCAGGAGGAGCAGCTGGCTGCAGGCGAGTGCCGGCGGCTACAGGGGAAGCTCAGCCATGAGGAGGCCATCCTGGCCCGGCAGAACCTCATACAGGAAAACAAGCAGAAGGCAGACCAGAAGAAAGAGGAGGTGATGTGCCACATATGAGCAGCTGGGATCACGGGGCAGCTGAGCTGTGTGACCTCAGGAGCCATGGGCCATGGTGGGCAGAGAGCTGAAGGCCTGTGCCATTGGCTCCCAGGCTAATCCTAGGTCATTTCTTTCCAAGACCCATAAGATGGACATGGTTTCTCTGTACCTTCCCCAGCAGGCAAGTTTCAGGAGTTTCATGTCACCAGGGCTGAGAGGACTATCAGGCCATTCTGCTCTAGGCTGCCCCCCCACTCCCATCAGCAGGGAGATTTGATCCATGGATCCTTGGGTGCCCCGGGGAAGCCCTGAGATTCTGGCAAAACCTTCTAGTGGTGGACACCTTTGCATGTAACATGTTTGCTTTGCGGGGGGGAGGGGACTTGTGGGTGTCCAGGTTACCACTTTAGAAGACCTGATGTGCCAGTCCTGGCTCTTTCTCCACCAAGGACAGACTATCTAGGTGAATGCTCCCTACCTGCATCCCCTGTGTGCTTGTGCCTACCAATGTCTCCCAGATGTGCCCAAGGAGGGCCCCCACTGGCCTCATAGGTCCAATCTGTAGCCATGTCTCTCCTCAGATGTGTCCCACTGAGTCCCTGAGGTCAGAGGACACGCTCTCCAAGATCACTCAAATTACCTCTTTTTAAAAAAATATTTTTAGTTATAGTTGGACACAATACCTTTATTTTATTTATTTATTTTTTTATGTGGTGCTGAGGATCAAACCCAGTACATCACACATGGTAGGCAAGCTCTTACCATTGAGCTACAACCCCAGCCCCAAATTACTTCTTTTGTTAGACCCATTTTTAACTGTTTGCATTCAATTTTAAGATTCGCTTTTTCTAAGCCAGACCTAGTAGTGCACACCTATAATCCCAGCAGCTGGGGAGACTAAGACAGGAGGATCCCATTAACCAGCTCGTGTAACCAAATCTCATTATTTATATTTACTATCAAAAATAGGACTAGCTCCATTTCACCTTTGAATTCCAGAAGTTATTCAAGGAATTCTGCTTATATCAAGACTAATTCTACTAACATGACAAAAAATCGCTCCAATCTCCATTGTATACCAAATTGCACCACCTATTAACTCTCCTTTAATATTATCTATGGCGATTTTATCCATCATGTTAGGAGACTGAGGAGGACGTAATCAAACTCAACTATAAAAAATTCTAGCAAGGGGCTGGGTTGAGGCTCAATGGTAGAGCACTCACCTCGGGTTCGATCCTCAGCACCACGTAAAAATAATAAGTGCAACAATAAAAAGTATTGTGTCCAACTACAACTAGAAAATTTAAAAAAATCTAGCATACTCATCAATTGCATATATAAACTGAATAATAGCAATTATTACATTTAATCCTACTTTAACGATGTTAAATCTAGTTGTTTACATTATACTCACAATTAACATATTTATATTATTTCACTATAACAAAAAAACTACCACCCTATCCCTCTCAAATATATGAAACAAACTCCCCCTTCTAACTTAGACAACTCTCATTGTATTAATATCACTAGGAGGACTTCCACCCCTAACTGGGTTTACCCCAAGGTGAATTATCATTAAAGAACTCATATCAAATAATAACATTATTTTACCAACATTAATAGCAGTTATAACACTCCTAAATTTATTTTTCTACATGCAAACAAGAATTCAAAGACAGCCTCAGCAATTTAATGAGGTCCTGTCTCTAAATAGAATATTAGAAAGAGCTGGGGATGTGGCTCAGTGGTTAAGCACCCCTGGGTTCAATCCCTGGTACCAAAAAAAAAAAAAAGTGAAGATTGGCTTTTGCTTTCCTTTAAGTTTATTTTATTTACTTGTTTATTTGTACTGGAGATCAAAGCCAGGACCTTTCTAGTGCTAAACACTGCACTCTTCCATTGAGCTTAACTCCTAGTGGGGGATTGCTTTTTTGGAAGTTTTAAAATGACAAATGGGTGTAGGACTATTCAAACAATCCACTTCATATTAGGTAAGCTGTGACAGTTTGCATATTTTGAAGAATCAATCCATTTGACAAAGTCGAATTTATGTGTGTAGAAGTTGTGTGTGATATTCTATTATCATCCTTTTATGTCTGTAGGGGCTATAATGATAAAACTTGTTTTGTTCCTGGTATTCCCAATTTGTATATTTCTGCTTTTGATCTGCAATTCTTGTTTAGAGATTTTCAATTTTACTCATCTTTCCAAAGAGTTGGCTTTTTGTTTTGATGATTTTCTCTATTGTTTTGCTGTTTTAAATTGGTTTCTGATCTTCACTTCCCTCTGTTTGCTTATTTTGTTCTTCTTCTAGGCTCTTGGGATGGGAGCTTAGGTTACTGATTTGAGAATTCTCTGCCTTTCTATTGCAAGCACTTGGTGATATGCATCACCTTTGATTTACTGATTTAGCTATGTCTTGCAATTTTAATGTATTTTATTTTATGTTCATTCACTTTGACACATTTTTTTCCATTTCACTTGAGATTTCCTCCATGAATTATTTAGAAGTGAAATGTGTATTGCATGGATTCCAAACATTTGGAGATTTTCCTGTTGTCTTTCTTTTTTTAAATATTTTTTAAAATTGTAGTTGGACACAATACCTCTATTTTATTTATTTATTTTTATGTGGTGCTGAGAATCAAACCCAGGGCCTCCCACGAGCCAGGCGAGTGCTCTGTGCTGAGCCCCAGCCCCAGCCCCTTTCCTGCATCTTTCTATTATTGATTTCCTTTCCTTCCCCTCCCCACCCCAATACTGGGGATTGAACCCAGGAGCAGTAAATCACTGAGCCACCGAGCTACATTCCCAGTCTTTTTCATTTTTGTTTTTAGGCAGGATTTTGCTAAAGTTTCTGTGGCTGCCCTCAAACTTGTGATCCTCCTGCACCAGTTCCTGAGATTATGGGTGTGTGTCACCACGAAAAGCAGGATGTTGTCTATCTTGCCATGTTTTATGTGAAACACTTCAAGAGAACACATACTCTGCTTGCTGTGATTGGATAGTTCATGGACGTTGACTGGCTCCTGCTGGTTAGCACTTGTTTTAGTCAGCTTTTTCACTGCAGGGACAAGAAAATCATAGAAGGAAAAGTTCATTTTGGGGCTAACAATTTCAGAGGACTCAGTTCCATAGACGGCCAGCTTCATTCCTCAGGGCTGTGGAATGAGGTGCGTAGTGAAAGCAGAACATCATGGCGGAAGAATTGGTGGAGGAAAGAAGCTCAGGACTTCACACCAGGACACAGAGACAGAGCTCTGCTCTTCACAGAAAAAAACATACACCCCAAAGGCACACCCGCAATGATTGCCTCCTCCCACCACATCTTACCACCTACTGTTACCACCCAGTTAATCCCTATTGAGGGATTAATTCACTGTTTGGGTTAAGTCTTTGTAACTCAATCATTTCACCTCTAAAATTTCTTGCATTGTTTCACACATGAACTTTTTGAGGACACCTAATATCTAAACCATAACAATAGTGAATTTTTCTGTGCATCTGCTGACTTTCTGTCTAGTTGTTCTATCAGTTGTTGAGGAGAGGTGTTACAATCTCCAGTTGTGACTGTGAAATTATCTCTTCTTCTTTCTGCTCTATTCGATTTTGCTTCACATATTTTGTAGCTCTGTTGTTTGGTGCATGCCTATTTAGAATTGGTGTCTTCCTGGTCTTGACCCTTTTATTATTATCTAATAACCCTCTCTGTCTCCAGCAATTTTCTTTGCTCTGACGTCTATTTATCTGATATTAAAGCTCTGCTTAATGGTTAATGTGTGCATGATATATATTTTCTATCCTTTTTACTTTCAATCTGTCTATGTGATTATATTTGAAGTTTCTTGTTTTTTTAATCTGCTAATTGCTGCTATTAATTGATATATATTTACCAGTTACATGTAATTAGTTATTTTGCTAGATTTAAGCCTGCCACTTTCTGTTTTGTTTATTCTACTTTTTGTTTGTTTCTCTGTTTTTGTTGCCTTTCAATGGCAAATTTTTTTCAGAATTCCATTTTGATTTAGTTATGGTGTTTATATAATTACAGTACGTCTCTTTACTTTTTTTATTGTTTCTCAAGATTTTGCATTATATATTCATGTGTTGATCAGCTTTCTGTTACTGCAACAAAATATCTGTGATTACTTAAAAGGAAGAAAGGTTTTATTTGCCTCACAGTTTTGGAGGTTTCAGTCCATGGTTGGTTGGCCCCATTACTTTTGAGCCTGTGGCAAGGTTGCACATCACAGCAGGAGTGTGCCATGAGGTGTGGACCAAAGCTGCTTATCTCATGGGGGCTGAGAAATAAAAGAGAGAAGAAGAGAAGGAACTAGGGTCCCACTTTCCCCTTTGAGGGCATGTATCTAATGACCTGACTTCCTGCCACTAGGCCCCTCCTCCTAAAGGTTCCACAGTCTCCCAGTGACACCACAGGCTGGGGGACCACTCTTCAACACATGGCCCTGGGGACACTCCAGACCCAAAATACAGCAGCACAGGACATAGTTTACATAGTGTCATGTTACATCTCTTGCCCTCCCCTTTTTATAGAATTGTCTGAAATATTTCCTTTCCATACATTTAGAGTCACATCAGACAGCATTATGATTTTTGCTTCAACCACAGACGTGATTAAGAAGGCAGGAAAGAAGGAAGTCTCTGTATGTACCTGTGTTTGCTCCCGAGACATTCTTACTTCCTGATGTAACAAGAGCTCTCTTTTAATCACTCTTTTTTGTGTAAAGCACCTTTAGCCACCCCAGGTAGTAGGGGAGAGGCTCTGCTCACACCAAGGGTGGGTGGAAGTCCAAGTTCCATGGAGCCCCCAGGTCTCTGTGCAGGCTTCTCTGCTACCACCTTGCGGCTGGTGCACCTTAGCTCAGCCTGGTGAGTGTCCAGCCCAGGCTCCCCCTCAGTCTTCTCTGATGGGGATGAGGTGGACCACACAGCATTCTATGCAGTCCTCCTGGAGTTGGAGGTTAGGTTCTAGAGTTATCCTGTCCTTGCAGGCTGCCCTTTTCCTGGTCTTTTGGCTAGAGAAAGCGGCAGACGTCGGTGGGTTTTTTTAGTTTGCACCTATTGGCATTACTATGTTGACAGCTCCACTGGCACCAGAAATCCCAGAGAACTCACACTCTGAGAGGTTTCAGGCCTGCGGCTCCTGGGCAGTCTGCCTTCTTTTCCCCTTTCAGAGTCTTCCTATGTTTATATTAGAGACAGCAGCCAGGGGTGCTGGTGTCTCTAACGAGAGAGTCAGGTAAAAGTGCCCTCCATCTTCCCAGAAGTCCCCAGTGTTGAGTTTTAAGAACAGCTTTTTCAGCAGCTGCACATATGATTGTATTTTCCCCTCCCTAGTGCATCATTTTGATCATTTCTCTCTCTCTCTATTTTTTTTTTTTTAATACCAGGGATAGAACCCAGGGCCTCATGCATGCTAGGCAAGTGCTCGTTTGCTTCACATATTTTGTAGCTCTGTTGTTTGGTGCATGCATATTTAGAATTGTGCATCCTCACATCCTTAGCCCAGTAATTTCTTCCTGTCAGTTCACCCTTGCATTCCTGAGGTTAATCCCTGTGACATTCCCTGGAGTTTGAAAGCCACAGAGAGGAGTGTAGACCTATGTTGAAGCCGAGAGGTGGTGCAGGGGCAGGAGGGCAGCACTGGTAGCAGCAGCCAGGCACTCTCCTTGCCCAGACCAGAGAAGGACCTGAAGAACCTCCTAAGTTGCCTTATGAGGGCCACCTGGAGGGACATAGCCCATCAAAGCAGGGCCCTGGAAGCCAGAGCTGGGAGCAAGAAAGGTGCAGTCTGGTGAGAGGCTTTGTGGGGCAGGAGCACTGTGATCAGGAGACCCCAACATGGCTTCTGTCATCCTTAACTCCTTAACAATGAGAATAATCAGTCATGTTGAATAAAGCTTTTTAACCCATTGGCACAGGGGGTTGAATGCAGAGCACTTGTGCCAGTGTCAACAGCAGGTCCACTGGGGAAGAGCCTTTGCAGGCCAGTTGTCATGGGGACTGTTGTGTGGGCACATTTTACCAAGCATTAGCCCATTTAGTTTGGCAGCACTTGCGGCACTTTTCCACTTGGCTCTGGTCACGTAAATCCTGTCCAGCATGTTCTGGTTTTGTTTTGTCTTGCTTTGTATTTTGGAGCTGGGAATCCAAGCGCCGGCCTTGTGTGTACTAGGCAAGTGCTCTGCCACTGCAGGGGCTTGAACATGTGGGGCCAGCTCTACGTGCAGCCCTAGTGCAGTGCCACTCTGTGGTAGCAGGATGAGGTCTGCGGGACCTGATGGACCTCCAGACAGGGACCGGGGACTCATGGCAGGCTGCTGGCCTCTGAGCAACTCCAGGCAGAAGGTGGTCCTGGGCTTCCTTCAGATGCAGCCAGGCATCAATCCTGGCTTGGGCCAGCTGTGGCTCTCGATAACTCATCTGTGGTGACCTCAACCTCACTGCCAGCCTGGCCAGGTGGCTGCGCATTTATGGCCCCTGCCCTGTGCTCTCCTTTCTTCTCCCTGACGCTGTACTGATGCCCATGCTGCCACTGAGAGGGCAGTGAGCCCTTGCCCCATTCTGTGTGCTGTGCTCCATGCAGCCGAGGAAGGGATACGGCCTTTGATTTCCCAGCAAAGACACTGAAAACCCCCAAAATTTTAAAAACAAAAATTTTAATAAAAAAAAACCCTGAAGGCTGGGAATATAGCTTAGTTGGTAGAATGCTTATCTCTCTGCACCATTAAAAAGAGGAAGGGAGGGAGGGAGGGAGGAAGGAAGGAAGGAAGGAAGGAAGGAACGAACGAATGAACGAACTGAAGCCCAGGAAGACCCAGAATTTACCTGAGGTCACACAGGTGGTCAAGGCTAAGGGAGATAGAACTGAACATCCGGGAAGTTTTGCCCCCAAGTTGGTGTCTTCTCCAAGGATGTGAGCCACTTCCCAATTCTGTGTGCATTTACAACAGGTGAGAGGCACTGCTTGGCCAGAAGTCTCCTCTTTCTTACTCCCACATGAAGCTCTTGCTGTCTCCCTGCTGTGGAGTGATCTCCAGCCTTTGGTTGCCGGTCCCTGACAGTGTGGCCAAGCTGGGGAGCCACAGAACCAGGCACCTTTGGTCCCTCTCTACCTCCTTGAGAGAAGCCACTTTTTCTCTTCATCTCCTACTTCCACATAAGCATTTCTCTGACGTGTTACAAAATTTCAAAAGTGGTGCTGGGGGTGCAGGCTAGCAGTGGAGCATGTGCATAACGTGTGCAAGGTCCTGGGTTCAATACCCACAATAACAACAAAATTATTTTCTAATTCCTTTTTCTTTTTTGGTCCCAGGGGATTGAACCCGAAGGCTGAGCCCCTCTACAGTAATTTTTTAAAAATAAACCTTTCACTTTAGGACAGACCTAAGATTTACAGAAAAGCTGCAAAAGTTCTGTGTCCTCCCCACCCTGCTTTCTCCATTCTGAGCATTTATTTTACATTACCATACGCACTCTGACTCCAGGGCAGCCCAGACCGGGTGGCTTAACAAATTCAGCCCCAGGATCACACGGGGAGGGAGGAAGATGTCAGGGGGACTTCTCCAACCTTAAGAGGACCCCCCCAGAAACTGCCAGCCCTGGGGTGTCAGGGCAGGCCTGGGTCAGGATGGGAGGAGAGCCTGGCTGGGCTCTGACAATGATGAGTCCTCTGAGCAGACAGCTGAGCTGATGCTGCAGTGTGCCGAGAGGAGGCTCAGAGAGGCCAAGTCCATGAAGGAGCTGGTGGAACAAGTGACAGAGGCACAGAAGAATGTCAAAGTGGCTCAGATGAAGCTTGTGAAGGGCCGACAGCAGATAGGTATGGCAAGGAGCCAGGTTCCTGGAGGTCTGCTTGGCTCCATTCTTCCCTGCTTGGGTCCTGGGCCAGCATCCTGCTGAGTGAGCTGCTGTGGTCACTGGAGGGTGGGCTGGGACTGGACAGGTCCTCCCAGGATGACTCACTTGGTCAGAAACTGAACATGAAATTCCCAGGGGGAGGTGGATTCTGTCCAGTGCCATCCAGGCACTCCTGGATGCCCTCAGCACTCTTCTTGGTCCCCAAGTTCAGGAGGTAATGGAGGAGAGCCGGGAGATGCTGCAGCGCAGTGCAGAGGCAGCCAGGGAAGAGCAGAGGCGTCGCTGTGAACTCATCTCACAGTTGCGTGCACTGGAGACACAGCCCACACGCAAGGGCAAGCTGGTGGACCTGACCCAGGTGAGGACACAGCCCCCAGAACTCATACCCTGCGTGATTCTCTGTGCTGGGAACAGCAAATCCAGAATTCCTACCAAGCCAGATCTTGCCCATCCCCAAATTCATGGAGTGGGGGCACCACCAGCAGTGGACTCAGCAGCACTCAGGGTGCTATAGGCCTGGACCTGCTGGTAAGACAGACACCAGACAGGACCTCTGCAACCCCTGAGGCAGGTTGGAAGGGCAATGCAGGGAGAGCAAGGTGAGCAGATGGCTGGGACTGGATGGATCCAGAGGCTAAGAGGACAGTTTCTTGGAAACATGTGTGAGAAATCAGGAAGGAGCTAGGTTCATGGGATGAGAGGCAGCACAGGAGGTACCATGAGAGCTGGTTTTGGGGTCTGGCCCCATGGGGTAAGGGGTACCTGCTAGGGTGTCCAGCCAGTGTGGGCTACAGAGTGGGCTCCAGCTGGAGAAGCTAGACAGGGGCATGTTACAGAGGCAGAATGGAAACAGAAGGAAGGCAGGCAGGGCAGGGGGCAGGCTGCATAGCTGCCAGCTTGGAGCCTCCCCTGCCATCTGGCAGATCCCCGGGTATGGTGTGGAGGGGGAGATGTCTGTTGTGGAGCTGCGAGAGCGACTGGCGCTGCTCAGAGAGACCCAGAGGCGTGAGGAGGAGGAGAAGCGAGATCAAATCATCCAGGACAAGCGTGCCAAGAGCCAGGAGCTACTGAACACATTGGAGCAGATCTCACTGTGCCGCAAGGCCATGGGGAAAACTGCGGCCATGAGGTAGGTACCTGAAACCCAGAAGGGTGCCTCCAGGTGCGCAAGGAACAGCAAGCCAGTTATTCCCCAGAGTGGGTCTCCTTGAAGCAGTCTCCACCCTCCTACCAGGCAGGCCCCTTGCAGGAAATCCCTCCACACCTCCTAGTTTAGTGGATGATTCTCAGGCCTACAGAAATGGTGGGGATCATGCGGTGATGGCCTCCATGCCCATGACCTAAATATAACCACTTTGTACCTAGGCCATGTGCACAACCTTCTGCCATATGTGCTTCATCTAACCAGCTAGCTATTTATTTGTCTGCACAGCCATTTGGAAGTAGTAGCAGGCATCAATCAGATGCTTCATTCCTGAAAAATGTAGTATGCATCTTCTAAAAAAGAAGAGTGTCCTACATAACCAAAGCACTGGCACAACCAGGAAAGGTAACAAAAAAATCCCAACATCTTTTAAATGACCCCTCTGTATTCACTTTTTTCCAGGCATCCCAAGACTACTAAAACCTTTTAAAGATTGCTTGTTGTAAATTTTTTTTTTTACACCAGGGTCTGGATCAAACACAGCATATAAATGTGCATGTATATGTGCGTGTGCGCGCTCCCACGCACCACACACACACACACACATACACACACACACATACCTTTTTGCTTTTTGCTTCTGGGGACACTATGATGACTTTTTCCAGACCCATGCGCCTGTCACTTGGCAACCCAGTCAGGCACAGGTAGGTATCTCCCCATTCTAACCAGGGTCATGCTAACCTTTGAATCTTGGCTTGGTCCCCCATGCCTCAATACCCTCACTATTACAGCAGAGCACACTGGGCTCCAGAGTGGGAATGGGGTGGCGTGTGAAGACAGGTCTGACGGAGAAAAGAGAAAAAGAGGGAGAAATCCATCACCCTTGGTCCTCTGAGCCACTTGCTGCTCTGGCTGTAATTCAGATAAAGCACATGCAACTAGGGACTGCTCAGGGAGGGCTGCAGGCCACAGCAGGTCCCACAGTGGTACACATCCTGGAAACTTCACCACTTCCCAGCTGCTGACCTGGTCCCAGCTGACCCCAAAAGCAGTTGTTAGAGTGTCTCTAAGGGCCCTGCTCTGGATAACAAGTTTCTGGAGCCCTACCCCATGTGTGCAACCAGCCCCAACAGCAGTAATTCAGCAGGAGCATTTTTCTGGGGGGGGGTGGGGGACAGGACAGTCAACAGGGAGTGTAGACACAGGAGAGAGAACCCACACATGCACTACACTGTGATGTGCAGTTACTGTCAACTCTGGCAGGGAACAAGACCTACTGATGAGACAGGGAAATTGCCTATGTGTGGAGACAGTGTGCAAGGACACACACCACAGAAATTAGCAGTAGTCACCTCTAAGCACAAGGAACTCTAGGCACAAGAGAGTCAAGAAGAGAGTGAGATAAAAGGGGCTTTCGCATACTAACCCTCCCTCCAAACTCCAGGGGATTGAACCTGGAGGCGCTTTACCACTGTGCTACATCCCTAGACTTTTTTATTTTATTTTATTTGTTTTTGTTGGTTCTGGGGATTGAACCCAGGGCCTTGTGCATCATTCAAGGCAAGCACTCTACCAACTGAGCTAAATCCAGCCCCCTTTTTTATTTTATATTTTGAGACCAAGTTGCTGAGTCTGGCCTTGAACTTGTGATCGAACTGCCTCAGTCTCCCGTGTCACTAGTATTACAGCTGTGCGCCACCACTCCAGGATGAATGTAATATTTTTTTAAAAAGAAACATAAGGGCAGGGATGCTAGCAGGACCCCAGGCCAACCCTGTGCAAGGTGACCCTGCCCCGGGCGGTGCAGGGTTTCAGACCGCCACTCCTAAACCCAATCTGTCGCTGGCCAGGTGGGAGCAGAAGAAAGCCCAGGCGGTGACGGGCGCGCCCTCCCAAGACGAGCGCGTGCTGGAGCTGCAGCGCAGGATCGAGGAGAGGGTGGCGGAGCGCCGCCGGCAGGCGGCCCCGCTGCACCTGCCGGCGGCGCGGACTGAGGGCCGCCAGTCACCGGTGAGCTTTCGGGGAGCCAAGGCGAGCTCCGGCTTGGCCTCGGCCGCCGCCCTGGCGTGTCCTGCCCATGCCAACACCGCCCCCCCGCCCGCAGGCGCAGCTGGAAGAGCCGCACTGGCTGGAGCTGGAGAGGAGCCGCGAGCGTAGGCTGCGGGCCCTGCAGCCCGGGGATTCGGCGATCGCACCGGCGCGCCGCCTGGAGGCTGCCTGAGCCGCGCCCTGCGCCCGGGCCGCCATACCCGCCCCCCGACCCTAGACCTCCCTGACCCCCCGCGTGCTGCCCGCGACCCCGCCCAGCCCTCTGTTCCCCAGCCCGCATCTGCGCGAGCGGTGCTGTGATATTAATATGCTGAATTGGACCTCGGGCCCAGACCCTAGCCCTTCCTCAGGGCCCAGCAAGTCATCATTCCCAAGGCCCCCTTTATCCCCCTCCCTGCTCCAGAACATCATCAGCACTGGAGTCCCCACCGGCTATCCAGACCCAGTGGCTTCACCTGAGAACCTAAGATCCTGTGTTCAGTTGTGCTGTGGTACCATTCTGGCCCTTCCCATGCCTTATCATGTAATCTGCGATTTTGGACAAGTAGAAACTCTGGCCCATTCTCATTTCATTGATGAGGCCATTGGTGCTCAGAGAGGTGACCTGTCCAGCGAGCCAAACCCAGAGCTAAGCATGGGTGACTTTACAGAGTACTGAAGGAGCCCGGAATCAACAAGGTTGGGGCCACTGGGAAACAGGTGGTCCCGTGCAGGGACCAGGACTGATTTGTAGGCTGGAGAAGGCGTGACCTTGAGAACAGGCCTGTGGAGTAACAGCCTCCTGGCCCTCTAGAACAGAGCACATCATGCTGCTGCTCACTAAAAGGATAGAATGTGGACAGTCCGTAGGGTGGGGTGCAGTAAAGGAGGGGCTAGAAACTCTCAGATGGATAAATATTCAGGAGAGGGACATCCTTCCCCATTCTCCTTTGACCTGCAGAGCTGGTACCTCAGCAGTGGAGGCTGGGCCTCTGAGCACTTTCAGATCGGGAAAGCACACATCAGCAGTGACAAGAACAGATTTAAGGGTCAGAGTCCTACTCCAATATTCTGAATTGTATTAGAACTCCAGAACTTTCCCACAACTCAGGTTGGTAAAGAGAAATTCCCATCTCCCTGTTGAATCAGAGCTGAGAATAGATTAAATTTCATTTAATGAAAAAAAATCTCTTTATATCCTGTGTTGTGCTATTCAAATCCATTTCATTTGATATTGAGGGAATACCCTGATGATTGGTCCAGACAGTCAGTCTTTCAGGAGCTCTGAAGGATTCAAAAGGATTTACCAGCTCCCCTAACTGGCAAGCCAAAGGCAGATGGACTTCAGGACATGCCTGATGCAGGAGTTCTATCTCCAAGCTGGTAGCAGTTTGTTTTGGAATGTTGAATATGTCTCCAGGCTTGAAGGAGTTCCTGTTAAGCCAGCCTTCTGCAATGGGGGCAGGTCTGTATGGTTGCCTGCAGCAAGGCTGTGGCAAGGGAGGAAACTGTCCTTCACCTTCACCTATTAGGCTTGCCTCTGGGCAGAGCAGAGATATGGCAGACCAACACTGTGGATGCTCTTGGCAACAATGTTGATTGGCAGTCAACTAGGTCCCCTCTCCAGTCCTGTTCTAAGAGCTAGCTTGTGGGAAACTGCTCCATCTACATGAGTGGGAGTAGGCCTGGGTCATTCCCTAAAGCTGTGACACTGTCCCTAAAGCTGTGGCAGAATGTCTCCCTGTACCCATAACTCCTTGCCTTGTGACTTTACCATTCCCATCAAGAGGTGAAGTCTATATTCCTCAATCTCTGAACCTAGTTTGGATTGGAGACTCACTTGGACCAAAAGAATGCAGCATAAGTAGCCTTGTGCCAGCTCAGAGCCTGGAACTTTGGTCTTGGGAGGTTCCACTTGTTCACTTACCAGGCCCCAGTGAACCTGGGTGGCCTTTTGGGATAAGACAGCTGAAACTTGTGAAGGAGAGCCAGTTGTCCTGAGTCCATTCTAGATCATTCTGCAACCAGCAGACACTCCCACCCCATCTCCCACATGTGAGGGCAGCCAGGACCAGAATTCTACACTCCCAACTGAGCAACAATAAACACTTGTTATTTAAAATATTGGGCTTTGGTGGCTTATTTCAAAGCAACAGCTCCCTGATATGCACTCAAGAACCATCACAGTGGGGACTCCTGCCTCCCTCTCCCTGCATGGGTCCTTTGAGATTCAAGTTTCCCAAGACAGGGGACCACCTAGAGGGACATAAGATCCAGCTGTTGCTTCCAATGCTCTTTCTGGACCTTTCTTGGCTGAACCACCCAGAGAGCTGAGCTTTTGCCTGAATGCAGGCTAGCCAAAAAACATCACAGTAAGGCAGGGCTCTTCGCAGATTTGAACATACAGAGATTCAGTAGCTAATCTGGGTGTTTTAGGACAACAAGGACAAGATCAGTGGTTTTGTTTGTCTTGATTTCTAAATCCATTCCCAAATTCAGAGCTCAAGAAACCCTCTTCATTCTCTATTTGATTCTGGCAGGCCATCCCAAGCAGGGGCTTGCATGCACTCAGGCAGGGCTGCTGAGTCCAACCTTCCACATTCTTCTTTTGAAGTAGGTACAATTACTATCTCCATATAAGAGGTGAGGGAACTTCTGAGACTTGCCCCAACGATGGAGCTGCTTTTCAAACTTAAGCAGGGGGATCCAGGGACAGCACTCTATGGACACTTAAGTCCACAAGATGCCCCTGAGACCTCCTGTCCTCTGCCTGGGCCTTGGCCCTTTCCTAGGCCCATCCTGGGGAAGAATGCTTTTCCCTTCACTCTTCCTTTTCTGGTACCCCTTGCCCACAAGATTGTCCGGACTTGGCACCTGGGCCCTCCCAGACTGATTCTTGCCCCCCCTCCCCGTGCTCCTGACACACTGGGGCACCAGTCTTCGGTCTCCCGGGAATGCCCAGCTCTCCCCACTCCCTTCCAGGCTCTGGGGACAGCTCTCTTGCTGGAACGCTCTCCCCTTCCCTCCTCGTCCTTCAGTCCTCGGCTAGGGGTCGCCTCCTCTGGGCAGCCCTCTCCGACGTCCAAGCCGAAGATCCTCTGGCTCCCGCGGATGGGACGAGCTGTTCTTCCCCGGGACTCTTCCTCCAGTCTGGAAGAGCCGGGAACAACACACTCAGGGCCTGGCACGACAGATTCAAGCCCGGTTTCAGCAGAGGGTCGCAGACCTTGGGCCGCGGGGGCATTTGTTACAAAGGTCTAGTTAACAGGCGAGGAAAGAGGCCCGGACAGGCGCGTGAATTGGCTGGCGGGGACTGAACTCCAGTCCAAGTTATCGGCCGGGTCCCACCAGGGACACAACGGCAGGTGAGCCAGGAAGCAGAAGAATCCGAGCCCGCTCGCTCGGGAGACAGTGCCCCGCCTCTAAGGAGCAACAACGCAGTTGGCGCCTCCGACACAACTCCCAGGAGGCCTTGCGGGCGTAGCGGCGCCGGCGTCACTCTCGCGGGAACTGGGACCTTGGGCGCGCAAGCGTGGGTGGGGCCGGAAGGAGGCGCCGTTCAAAGCGGTAATAGATGGTTTTCTCATCCAATAGAATTGAAAATACACCTCCTTAACCGGTAGACCGCGGTAGTAGGGGCGGGGGTGACCAATGGGGACTTTGGGGGGCGGGGCCTACGCCTGAGGAGCGGAAGTGGGTTGCTTTGAGTCGGCGGAGTCTTGCTTGAGCGGGTCTCCTTATCGGCTTGCGAAGATTCTTCCTCACGTTAGTGTGTTGGCGGCGGCGCCTGCCGGACCAGCAGAACCCTGGGTAAGTCTGGGCTTCGCGGGTAGGGAGTGGCACGTCAGGGCCGGGCACACGCGGGGCTCAGGCGGCTTTGCGGCCTGCAGAGGCGTCGGCGCCCGCCCTGCGTGCCTCGGCCCCGCTCGGGCCCCACAGCCCGGGCCGACCTCTCTGGGGCCTCGGGCCAGCTCCGCCTGCCCCGCCCAGTCGTCCGCGTGAGTGCCCGAGCCGGCCCAGCGCGGGCGTCGGAAGTTGGGAGCCTCGGTCTGGGGATCGTCTCGGCCCGGCAGGCCGACCGCGGAGCTTCGTCCGGAACCTAGGAAGGGAAACTGAGGCTTGGGGAGGGGAGGGACGCGCCAAGGTCAATCGGAGAGGCGGGCGGGGAAACCTGGGCGAGGTTTTTGTTTGCCGATGACGACGCTTCCTTTGTGTGCTCGCGCTGCCGCCCGCCGTCGTGGGCCTGCGAGTTGACCCGGGCGCATGGCGGGGCCTCTGTGGGCCCCGAGGGTGCCCCGGAGAGGAGGTCCTCAGCCTCCGGGAGCGCTTCCCGGCTCGCCGGTGGTCGGAAGAGCGTGCGACTGTGAGGCCTGCGGCCCCGTGCGCGCCTCGGCCCGTCCCCTTCCTGGCGCGCCTGCCTACGGGTGTATGAAAGTCAGATTTTAAGACCCGAAATGATATTCCCCGTGAGCGTCCCTTGTTCACCGTTGGACCCTTTGAGGGAGGAGGGAAGAGGACAGAGTTAGGGCGAGCAGTTTTGTGGGTGTTTCAGTTTTTGTCTTAATCCTGGTCGGTGCCCACAGACGTTCAGTTTTCATTTCGTTCTGGTTCTGCATCAGGTTCCGGAGCCAGACCTAGGGCCTCATCTCTGCAACCTTGGAGCCCAGCTTAAGCTCCCCAAGTGGTTGGGGAGACTGAGGCCCAGAAAGGTGAGATGATCTGCCCAAGGTCACACAGCCAGCTGCTTGGCAGTAGACTGGGTCTGGTTCCTCATAGCATTGACTTTGATTTTTCACGTTTTTTTTTTTTTTTTTTTTATGTATGGAGAGACCTTGGGTACAATTTTACATGATTTTGAGATGAAATGGGGACATGTGAGTGGAAAGACTATTGCTGTTGTTGGCTTTGTATTTGAACTTGAGCTTCCTTCCAACATTGATTCCAAAATGTTGCTTTAATATAGTCTTTATCCACTTTTTCTTAAATTATTATCCCTGAAAGGAGTGGTTTCAGTTTTCCTACTCACACCTGTGAAATTTCAATGTGACATACTGTAGGTGTTTTTACCTACTGTGTGTATGTTTGTGCTTTATACATAAAATAAGGGTTTTTTAACTCTCTTTGAGAATTCATGCATTAATGCTCTGAGTTAGCACTATTTTGAGGTCTTTTGTGTGCAGAGCTTTTTGCTTGGAGTACAGCAGTGAACAACATAGGTCTAGTGACGGTCTTTCTGAAGCTGAAAGCATAGGAAATGGAAGTTCTTGCAGGTGAAATATAGATGATACAAGAAGTGTGGCAAGACGTGGAATTGGGAAGGCAAGCAGGAATCAGATGTGAAAAGTGTCTGGTGTGATAGTTTATTCTATGGCAAAGAGGAATTTATCTTCTGTTGCCTGCATGGTTGGGTTGAATTTTAAACTGGGAAGTAATACAGGTAGAACTATATTTAAGAAAAATTACTACTGAAGCTGGACAAGACACGTGGTTTTGTAGCCAGGTCCAGTGGTGCAGGCCTGCAATCCCAGGTATATGGGAGACTAAAGCTGGAGAATCACTTGAGCCCAGGAGTTAGAGGCCAGCCTGGACAATGTAACAAGATTTTTGTCTTAAAAAATAATAATAATAAATAAATAAATAAATAAAGGTCTTGGGACCAGTTAGAAAGAGACAGGATTTGGGGAGACTGTCACTGTGGCAGTTCTTCACTAGGTTTGTTTATTTGGTTTTTATATACTGGGGATTGAATCCAGGGGTATTTTGCCACTGAGCCACATCCCCAGCCCTTTTCATTTATTTGAGACAGGATCTCACTAAGTTGCTTAGGGCCTTGCTAAATTGCTGAGGCTGGCCTTGAACTTGCTATCCTGCTTCAGCTTCCTGAGTGGATGGTATTACAGGCATGTGACCCTACTCCAGCTTTCACTTGTTAGCAAGGGCTGGAGATAATAGCTTCATTGGTAGAGTGTTTGCCTCACATGCATAAGGCCTGGCTTCGATCCTAGCACCACCAAAAAAAAAAAAGTTTGTTAGCAAAGCCCATATATATGGCCTGTAGTCTGAACCCCACCAATGTCTGGAAAAGATTTGGGGTGCTACTCGGTAAAAAAAAATGTGCACAAGGGCTGGGGTTGTGGCTCAGGGGTAAAGCGCTTCTTAGCATGTGGGAGGCCCTGGGTTTGATCCTCAGCACCACATAAAAATAAATAAAACAAAGGTATTATGTCCAACTACAACTAAAACAATTTTTTTAAAAATGTGCACAAAAGTAATTAGTCCATGTGCTATATTTTCAGAAAGTTGATTCTTAATGCCTACATTGTATTCTCAAAGAATCTATTTGTTCCTGAGTTTCCCCCTTCTCCCATTTCAGGAGGTAATTTTAGGGCCTTGGGTGTACCCTACCTGCTTCACCTCTTCTCTGTTGCTGTTTGGCATGGCAGTTTTCTTTGTAATCTTTATTAAAATTTGCCTCCTTTCTCAGCACCTTGTTGATGTCTGTTCTGGCTTCTTACTCTTACAAGTTAAAGATGTCTCAGGTAGAGGTATTTTCTCCTAATCTCTCTTAATGATATCTGTATTTAAGTCTCCTTTTGTTTCTTGATGGTGACTGTATATGTTTTTGGTACCTGGGATTGAACTCTGAGCCACCTCCTCAGCCCTATTTTTTATTTATTTAGAGACAGGGTCTGAGTGTTGAGGGCCTCAGTCCTCCTGTCTTAGCCTCCCAAGCTGCTGGAATTATAGGCGTGCACCACCACACCTGGCTGTGGCTTTTTTTTTTTTTTTTTTTTTTGGTGGTAGTAGTGCTGGAGATCCAACCCAGTGCCTCACACTTGGGAGGCAAGCACTCTACCTCTGAGCCACAACCCCAGCCCTGTGACTGTATTCTTACTTGGGCTATAAGGCTGTATTTTCCCCATCTTTGAAAAAAATTTTTTTTTTCCTCTCACAACACCCTTCCTGTTTCCAATTATGTGCCATCTCTTTCAAGCATCTAATGATTTTGATAATTTAATTGGTTATAAATTCAATGGGAAAAAATCTTATTTAGATTCTGTGCCAGGTGCTGAGGGAACTCCTGGTAAGTATTAAATTTAGAGGTATGTGTGTCGAATTAAGGGAGGACAGAAAAAGAAATAGGGAAATTAGGACTGGGAAGAGAGAGAAGTAACTTTTGAGGTAGTCCTTGAGGATGGATAGAAATTCCCTGGAGTGGCAGGACCCTTCTTGCCACTATATCAAATTATGTCATTCTGACAGGAAAGATCTAGAATACAGGTGCCTGATATCCAGGGTATCTGGGGTAAAAGGACACATGTCTATAACTGCAAATGGAGTCAGATGGTGAGAGGTGGGGAGTGAGGAGTGGCTTTATGATCTGAAGGACATATTCTGTGGGCAGTAGTTGTGATCTTTGGGAGCCCTTGCAGTATTAGATCTTTTGGAACCTGATGACTTTTGAGTTTTCTTGTGAAGGTTAACTTCCTCAGGCCCATTTAGTGTTCTTTCTTATGCTCTTTGTTTACCCTAGGGGCCAATAACCATTGACTTGCTTTCCTTCTTTTTTGTTCTTTTTAGATACACATGACCGTAGAATGTAACTTTTTTAGTTGTAGATGGATCCAATATCTTTGTTTATTTTTAATGTGGTGCTGAGATTCAAACCCAGTGCCTCATGCATGCAAGGCAAGTGATCTACCACTGAGCTACAATCCCAGTCACCGTTTTATTTTGACATGTTGCACAGATATAGATTATGGTTTATTCTAATTCTGTTCTTGGGGTTGTACATGATGTGGACCTAACTTTGGTTGTGTAGTCATATACAAGGATAGGAAAGTTATGTCTAATTAATTCTACTGTCTTTTTTTTTTTTTTTTAGAGAGAGAATTTTTTTAATATTTATTTTTCAGTTTTCGGCGGACACAACATCTTTATTTGATCTTTATGTGATGCTGAGGATCGAACCCAGCATGCCAGGCGAGTGCGTCACTGCTTGAGCCACATCCCCAGCCCCTATCTACTGTCTTTTCTATTCCCCTCCCTGCTCCCTTCCCTTCATTCCCTTTTGTCCAATCCAGTGGACTTCTGTTCTTTCCCTCCCCACCCTCCCTTGTGGGTTAGCATCCACATATTAGAACATTTGGCCTCTGGCTTTTGGGGACTGGCTTATTTCATTTAGCATGATATTTTCCAATTCCATCCTTTTTTTAAAAAAAAATATTTATTCTTAAGTTTTAGGTGGACACAGTATCTTCATTTTACATTTATGTGGTGCTGAGGATGGAACCCAGTGCCTCATGCATGCTAGGCGAGCACTCTACCACTGAACCACAGCACCAGCCCCAATATTCTCTCTTTGTATACCACAATAGTCTGTTGTGTATGTATGCCTCATTTTCTTTATCCATTGATCTGCTGAAGGGCACCTAGGTTGGTTCTATAGCTTAGGTATTGTGAATTGAGCTGTGTCACTGTAATATGCTGATTTCAAGTCCTGTGAGTATAAACCAAGCAGTGGTAATACTGGGGTCAAATGGTTTCATTGCTAGTTTTCTGAGGAGTCTCCATACTGCTTTCTAGTATGGTTGTACCAATTTACAGTCCCATCAGTAATGTATAAGTGAACTTTCCCCCCACTCACTTGCTGACATTTATTGTTACTTATATTCTTGATAATTGCCATTCTGACTGGAGTGAGATGGAATTTTAATATTTTTTAGTTATAGACAGATGCAATATCTTTATTTTCAGTGTAGTTTTAATTTGCATTTCTCTAATTGCTAGAGATGTTCAACATTTTTTCA